TTTGCGTATCAAAACGACATACGCCTTAGCGACATTGTGAACTGGCCATCCAAGATGAAGTTAGCGCTTTTCTCGACACAATAATGCAGGACAGGCGAGTATAAAATATTAAACAGTTTGCCACGGCGCATGCTATACTCAGCCAAATTAAAAACTTGACACTCGGGATTTTTGGGACTAAATTTTTAATATTTGGTTTATGGCAACTATTTTAGTATTATGTTGTGCACAGATGACCTTGACATCAACAAAAAGCAAGAATACGTCTCGCCGAAAGTCCTTGGCATTGATAACGTTCGTGATGTCACAGTACCCCCCAAAATGAAATTCACAGACTTGGAGAACAATCGGAATAAAGTGTTTAGTAACGGTTGTGGCCTCCTCTAGCGTCTCGTACTGCCACACAACGTCTTCTCATGGATCTCAGAACATTAGTAAACACTACCCGAAGAAGACGTCGCCACTTCTCAGCAAGAGCATGTTGAAGGTCCTGCACCGTCAGAGGTGGATTCACTTGCTGACGAACACGTCGACCCAGTTCGTCCCAGGTGTGTTCAATAGGATTAAGGTCGGGGCTAAGCGACGGCCAATCCAGGACTTGGAAACCGGCATTTCTTTAAAAATTCTGGGTAGCAATTGTTGTATAGGGTCGAGCATTGTCTTTTTGAAACGTTAGTCCAGGTCCATGTCTCTGCATAAACGGAAGAAGAACAGGTTGCAAAATCTGATCCCTGTACTGGACAGCATTTAAGTTCCCTTGGACAACAAGAGGAGAACGTCCATGTGCACAAAAAGAACCCCAAACCATGACGCTGCCGCCACCAAATCGGTCAACTTCTCTGACGCATACTTGAGCGTAACGTCTGCGGTACACTCGGACCCTGCCATCGGCAAATCTCAAAGTGAATCGAGATTCTTCAGTACAGACAACCGAATTCCACTGTCTTTGAGTAAATCTTATGTGTCTTGTGGCCCACACAAGTCGGTAACGGCGATGAAGAGGTGTCAATATTGGTCCATTATAGGGCCTCCGAGCTCGAAGACCAGCAGCCTGCAAGCGATTTCGAACAGTTTGTGCAGTTACCCTTCCACCAAACATCTCTCTACTTGTGGAGGTTGCAGTGACAAATCTGTTTCTAAGATGACGTAATCGTATTGCTTGATCTTCCTGGAGTGACGTCACACGTGGCGCTCCCGCCCTTGGGCGGTCGGCAATAGTTCCAGTTTGAAGCACTCTCATTCTAAGATTAATTATTGTCTGGCGTGAACAATTAAAAGCTCTTGCAACAGTGACCACAGACTGACCAGCATAGAGCCTACCTATAGCACGTAGACGATCTACATTTGAAAGGCGCGGCATTTTCTAACAAAGATGAAAATAATAATTTTAATTTGTTTTTCCAGTTCAAGTTACGTGTGCGTGTTCAGTTTAAGCAAACTTGCATCGATTGGCCTCACGAGTTTGTGTTTGCACGTGTTTTTCAGGTTTTTCATCTTTATATGCTCAAAAGTCACGTGATCCACGTGACTTTACAATTTTATGAAATTAAAGGCTTCTTATTACTTGCTATCGTTAGAAACACTTTAAAATTTATTTGACTTACCAGAAAAAAAAATTGTTGAAATTCATCAGTGTCAAGTTTTTAATTTGGCTGAGTATATTAGCAAAACATCAGTGGAACGAAAAGAAATGAAATAAAATGAAATGGGGTTTAACGTCCTACTGTTCCGCTCCTAACCTGCGCTAATGAAGACGGGCATACTCCATACAGTGTGCTATGAGGGAGATTTTGCCCGCGGGCAGCGGGATCATTTACGTGCATGCGGTTACACCCCCTTGTTATATATATATATATATATATATATATATATATATATATTAATTTAAATTGTCTTGAATAAGGCCCCTTGTAAGGTAAATTACGCATACCATATTTCTGTTTTAAAACAATATATATATATATATATATATATATATATATATTTAAATTGTCTTGAATAAGGCCCCTTGTAAGGTAAATTACGCATACCATATTTCTGTTTTAAAACAATCAGATGCCCCTAATTGGATGAATCCTTCTGCTGAAGATATACACACGTGAAAGAATATCACCAACCTGGAATCTATTACAATATAATACGAATTGTAGTAACTTAAAAAAAAACAAGAGGAGTGAATCGGGTATTACCCAGGTGACTACCGTCGAATAAGGTTCGTTTTTATACTCCAATATTTCAGTGTAGGTGCATTATGTCGTCACATTTTCCGTCGGTTAACATGTGGCTTGTGAACGATATAGAGGCTGTAGTCTTTAGCGGGGTCTTTTCAAATTTGATGTGAAGCATCGTGTCATAAGAGGACAAACCTTCTGCAACCTTTCATACCAGAGATATGCACCTTTTTCGGAACACATTGTGAACGCTATATCGACAATAGTTTTTAAACACATTGTTTCCAAATTTGGCGTAAAGCATTGTGGTCATGAGAGGACGAGCAGGGGCGGATCTATGAATTTTGAAAAGGGGGGTCGCCGCAAAATGAGGGCACTGACCGCGGAGACGGGGCACGCCGCTGAGAAATCGTTGAAAAAGAGCCTTAAAATGGAGCAAAAAAGCCAGTTGAACACGCGACTCGAAAATTGTCAAGGCGAGCGAGGCATTATGATGGGAAAAAAGACGAATCTATTCCTTAGCCACTTCACTATTTAAGCCTTGTAACTTGTACTTTGTACTGTTCACACATGAAACAATGCTACATCAAGTTGCAGGGGCGTGCTGGCAGGGAGTTTAGGAGGACGGTGTCCCCCCAGGCCCCCATTAAACAATAAGTCCACCCGTATAAGCGGGCCCCCCTGAGAGCTCTAATTTTCACGCGGAATCCCCTCAAAAAATTGAGAGTGCGCACGCGAAAAATCATACATACACAACGATTAGTAATATATATTACTAGCAGGATACCCGGCTTCGCTCGGGGGTCATAACTCCGAAACCGGAAGTGGTAGACTAACGCCACCTGGCCTATGTTAGTCCCCGGTCCGAGCTACCCCTATACCCCAAATTTCAGACTCGGGGCAGATGTAGCCGCCAACCCCGAACAGACTTCGCTCGGGGGTCATAACTCCGAAACCGGAAGTGGTAGACTAACGCCACCTGGCCTATGTTACTCCCCGGTCGGAGCTACCCCTATACCCCAAATTTCAGACTCGGGGCAGACCTAGTGTAGCCGCCAACCCCGAACAGACAGACTTCGCTCTGGGGTCATAACTCCGAAACCGGAAGTGGTACACTAACGCCACCTGGCCTATGTTACTCCCCGGTCCGAGCTATTCCTATACCCCAAATTTCAGAGTCGAGGCAGACCTTGTGTAGCGGCCAACCCCGAACAGACCGGCTTCGCTCGGGGGGTCATAACTCCGAAACCGGAAGTGGTAGACTAACGCCACCTGGCCTATGTTACTCCCCGGTCGGAGCTACCCCTATACCCCAAATTTCAGACTCGGGGCAGACCTAGTGTAGCCGCCAACCCCGAACAGACAGACTTCGCTCGGGGGTCATAACTCTGAAACCGGAAGTGGTAGACTAACGCCACCTGGCCTATGTTACTCCCCGGTCGGAGCTACCCCTATACCCCAAATTTCAGACTCGGGGCAGACCTAGTGTATGATACCTAGATTTCTCCCAGAAGTGCTTGCCAGCGGAGCGCCACGCGTTTGCGGCAGCCTAATTTTCAAAATTTTCGGGGGGGCACACACACCTTGTCACGTACAACCGAGGAACCAAAACCACACCTGTTGACTCAATGACAGACCTTATGATACAGCACACACATGCTAACCATTCAACTATCCAACTACCATCTTCAATAGAAGGCTTGATCTCGCCTTAACTACGTACATCTTATCAAGCTAGATGTTGTAAAACTCGTGGCCGTTGCTTCAGGGACATGTCCAAACCCCCGCTAAGAGCACATTTTTGGTCCGATTTTGATGAAACTTAAAATATATGTTTATACCTGACAGATCACAGTTACTTTCGATATTCGTGCATTTCAGACCGTAACGTCATGGATTATGGCCCCTGGTTGTACGACAAATCCCGTTTTAGCGCGGGACCCTGTAAAGGTTACAATTTTAATCCGATTTCAAAAAACATTTACTAATATCTCACTGTTCTACCCTAATGACGGTTGAGTTCGAATTTCGTGAAAATCGGGCCGAAACTGTCCAACAAAAAGGCCGCCTCCTGTACGCAAATAGTGTACAAGTATGTAATACCATGGTTGTGGGCCCTCTACAGGTCACAATTTCTATCCGAAGTTGGTATGTTTATATCCGCAAGATCTCGGTTCCTTTCGGTATTAGGGCATGTCGGACGGTAACTTCCTGGATTATGACGCCTGACTGAACGAAAAATTGCGTTTTTAGATAATGAATCCTATAGCGCACACTTTTATTTGATTTGAAAATCGTTCATATATCACCGTTACACCGTAATGACAGCTGAGTTCGATTTTCGTGTAAATAGTGTTAACCAAGACAAAACTATACAGTTATATGGGACAACAATCACTGGTTTATTATACACAAGCACGACGTTTCGATAAGTATTCTCTTATCGTTATCAAGCACAATGACATTTAGTAAACTTGAGCTCTAGTTTACTAAGCTGGCGTACCAAGGTTGTGGACACTCTAGAATTCACAATTTTTGTCCGATTTTGATGAACGTTAAAATTTATGATGGCAACTTCTTGTTTTACTTCAATCGGCACAGAGAAACTGGGTAGTGTTTACAGAAAACATTTAAAAATTCCAGGCAAAAAATTAGCACTATAAAAGACTTTCAAACTGTGTATATTTCAAATTTGTAGTTAATACCAGTGAGATATGACATCCTTTGTAAGGTGGAACACACCCTCCATGGTTTATTGCAAAAGTCAATTTACTGTTCAAACCACTCAGATTTCAAACCCTTTAGAAAGTAAAACAATGAACAAACATATATTTGTTAGAAAAATGATTTATTCGATTAAAAAAAAAATCTAATTTTCACAATACCAATTTAAAATAGTATTTTAATGGAATGTACTATATAGTAATTCTGATTATAATGGGATTATTTACAAATGATTTTCAATAATTTCAGGTGATGTAAACCTAACTCATATTAAACATTGAGTAATTTAAACCTCTTTTACCTCAAAGATAACAAATTAAATAAATCGGCTTGGTCTTAAATGTTTATTTTTTTAATAAAATATAATGTGTAACCAATTTAACAATGATTTCTTGCATGATATATCCATCATGAAAACGAAACAATTTATCTGCGTTCAGAATTTCATTTTTATTTCTATTGAAACTGAAATGAAATTTTTGATAATTGTACAGAAACATTATGCTTTGCATTTGGTTTCCCCTGTTGTTATGTAATATTTAAAAAAAAAATAAAATAAAATGATTATGTTATTATATAAGCAGTAAATATAAAAAATACAGGTATAAACAATCTATAGGCAAGGAATGTTATGATATACATGATATTATAGAATATATACAATGTGTAAATTTAATACTCCTGAGGGCTTCAGACCTCTTTGATTTAGGTCAAAATTAAAAGTTGAATTGTACTTTTGGAGTGATCAGGTTCACATTAAGCAGATTGTTTGGTTAGCAACATTCATCTTCAGACACCAAGATTTACAAATGTGTGAATTTTTGTAAATAATACAAACTTAACCAAGGTTTGATTCACAATGACAAGGTCCAATTCACTTTTACTGAATGCAAGACATATGTTATTTCAACTTAATTAATGGTACACAAGTCTAATACTATTAAATTATCATAACATCATAGTAAACAAAATTTAGTATGTCTACAAATTTCATCTTGTTATTAAATAAAACAGCAACACTTCTCAATCAATATAACTTGAATTGCCAGACATATATAAATTGTTAAAATGTAGCAAAACAATAAAACAAAGTCGAAAATCAAAGAAGTCCATTCAAACCTAAGGTATACTTATTGAATCACAATTTTCTTTACATAGTTCTACTATATGTTACACTATAACATTTGGTAAAAGAATTGATTTAACAGGAATATAAATGTTTAAAATTCAAGACCTGATTGGAGATTCAGAATGTTTTGAATGGAAAGGTCTGAAAACATTAGTGGAACCTCGACTTTATTAAAAAAATAATTATTTGTTAAGCAATAAAAAGCACTAATTAACACAAAAATATGTAAAATCTGTTAAATTCATCATTAAAAATAAAATTCTCATCAATGAACTCATTTGTGTAGTTTATCATTTAACATCAATAAGACATTGGGATACTTGATGTTCTGATGTTTTGAATTGGCAAAAATAAGAACCAACTAAATGAAAGTTCTGGCTGTCCCAAATATGTTGTGATGTAATGAAAAACAATTAACATGTTTCAGCTCCATTAATGGGTGAAGATCATTTCTATTCCGTTGATTCCTAATTTACCACACAACAGTCTTGTGTTTCCTTGTTTGCCAGTGCTCAAGAGATTGATTGATAAGACTTCAACAATGGCACATTTAATATAATATCTTTTCTTTATAGTTGCTGATCAAAAGATCTTCTACCCTATTTACAAATAATTTTCCTAGCAATAAGTTAGTTTTACATTGCTCTTTGAAATTTCGAGGAGTACTCCTTTTCAATAATCGATAAAACTAAAATAAAACAATGCATATGATAAACTTAATCACATGAAAATAAAATATTGAGAACGCAACTAAACTATTTTATCAGTACATTTATATTTGAAATGTAGACTATGTTTGATCACACAACAAAACTAATGATTCATTTGTCTGAGAAAATAATTCAGAACCATGGCTTTAAAAAAAGGTCTATAATAAGGCAACCACTTTGTAATTCTATATTTTTTTTATAATGTACATGTTACTATAGCAATTAATCGGGAGAAATACCCAGAATTCTATGTTTGCATCCAATGATAATAGATCATAAATAAATTCTCAATGGTCAAGTTTAGAAATAAATCAATTAATCTTAACTCACAAAAATAGTGGACTGATCTTCAAGAAATTTGAAATAAATTCGCTTTTGCAAACTTTGAGTTCAGTTCATTTTTCGATATAATTTATTTATGTCCACTTGAACATCAGATTTAAACAAAGGACGATGATGCGCCACCTGCACCTCCTGAAGCAGGTCTCGGGGGAGGTACGTCATCATAGCGATCCGAATAACGACTGGAACGGTCGCTATAAGCAACTTGATCATCGTAGTTGTTTCTTGGAGCACCATAGTTGTCAAACTTGGAAGGTTCACGAGTATCAAAGTCTGGGTCATAGGCTCCAGAATTCTGACGTTGATAATCATAAGGATCATCACGATATCCATCCCTTTCTCTGTCATATTCTTCATAGTGGTGATCCCTATCACCATAACTGTCTCGTCGCTCATCATAGCTGTCTCTTTTGGAGTAACTAACTGGTCTGTCTCCATAACTATCACGCCTGTCATCATAGCTGTCCCTTCGATCATAATCCCTATAGCTGGGTGGTGGATCATCTTTATTAATGCTGTCATGATCACGATCATGATAGCTGAAATATATTAACAAAATTCTTTTCATCATTGCAATGTATTATAGTTCTTAGCAAATTGAACCACAAAGTGAAACAGAAATGAAAAATGCATTAAAGTGCAGTAAGACAATCGATTGATTCAACAAAATATATCATCCGTAGCAACACAATCAATTCATTTCTTTCAAAGTGCAACAGTCTCAATTTTATTGATCAAATCAACTCTTAATACAATCTATACAAACGTAACGATCCAATTTCTGATCCAGTTAATTATTTTATACCAATTTAAGAGAATAGTTAACTGATGGGGATGGTTGACTGGAGCATTTTCTACATCTAACAGAACTTCATTAACTAGTGTTCTAGATTGATACGGTTGTGAGAGAAATGCTAAGAGAAAGGGAGAGAGAAAGAAATGGGGTTTAACGTCCACTCGACACAAACTAGGTCATTTCGGGCCTAACACATGGTTCAATTTTACTTCAATAATTAGCTTGTGCGTAGGGGTCTTAAGCAGTGGGAGGAAACCGGAGGACCCGGAGAAAACCCACGAGGTCGGACAGGCGACCCTACACCTTGTCACGTACAACCGAGGAACCAAAACCACATGCTAACAATTCAGCTATCCAACTACCATCTTCAATAGAAGGCTTGATCTCGCCTTAACTACGTACATCTTATCAAGCTAGATGTTGTAAAATTCGTGGCCGTTGCTTCAGGAACATGTCCAAACCCCCGCTAAGAGAACGGGGTGGTTGATTGGATCATTCGGTTCATTGTCAAGTATATAGATTGTATCGATCGTGCTAGATTGTCAATCCTGAGAGATTAAATAAGAGTTGATTGGATCAATTGGTTCATTGTCAAGTATATAGATTGTATCTGGTCATGCTAGATTTTCAATCCTGAGAAATTAAATAATAGAAAATGGGTTGATTGGATCGTTTGATTCAAGTATATAGATTGTATCGATAGTGCTAGGTTGTCAATCCTGAGAGATTAAATAATAGGAAATGGGATGATTGGATCAACTGATTCATCGACAAGTATATAGATGTATCTGATCATGCTAGTTGTCAATCCTGAGAAATTAAATGGGTTGATTGGATTGACTGATTGATCGACAAGTATATAGATTGTATTAATATTCATGTCATATCAATATGATCAGGAGGAGATAGGCAAGTTAAGAGTTGAAGGTTGATTGGATCAATCAGCTTAGTGTGATCCAAAGAAATGCAATGTAAATCGTTGAAAAATCTATTGAATCCATAATATCTATGTCAGAAATATCTGTATTATTATAATAATTTGTTTTTGTAGCGACTTACTCGATGGCCCACTGTCATGTGGGCCCCTGTCTCGTCACTATATTCAGAGTTTGTTAGAGAACGATTCTCTGTAGTCATCCAATTTTCAAAATTGTCCTGGGGAGAACCCTAGTACTTCCCTTTGTCCGAGGGGAGAGAACCCAACATCCCCCCACCCCCTAAAAAGTTCACTTCTCCTCCACAGCTTGACTACGGGCCTGCTACACTTTGTGTTATAATACTCATATTGTTTCAATAATAATTTTACATAATCTACTGTAGGCTACTTTTATATATGTAATCATAATAATCATTTTGTACAATAATCATTGTATATTAATCATTTTACTACCTATTTCTGTCATCATAATAATAATTGTATATAATCTTACCTGTCTTTATCATTATAATAATCATTCTGATAACCTTTTGGTTCAGGGATTTTTCCAGGTAGCCTTGATGTATCTGTTAACACAAATATAAGCAATGACTTCTATGTTTAAATGTTTTATAACACTTTAAGAAAATCTGTCAAAATTCGCCATTCAAAACTAAACTTTCTGTTCAGGTCAACAACTCAACTTATTTTGCCTTTATCATATTCCATGAAAAGAACTTTTTAAATTGTATGGTCATGAAATGTCGAATACAGTTGTAACATTTAAAATTATCAACAAAAGATAAAATAAAACAAAAATAAAATGTGAATTTCCTCATAAATGATCAACTAGATAGACTTAGTGACAAGTAGGTTATGATTAGGTTGATACTGGATAATCAAAGGAGTAGGGTGTTAAAAAATGATTATATGATTAGACATCAAAAAAAAGGTTATCGGAAAAAACATAGGAACAAGTGAGTTTATAGATTATGTGGTGTCATGCATGGCTATAAATAATTTGTTACCAGCAAGAGAGACTTGCTGCAACACTGATGCAATTAATACACCTGTGTTACAGTGAGATTGATATATATATATATATATATATATATATATATGATATACAAAGATTATTATTATTGTGATTTACTAGTTAATCTAAAGTGACTATACCTACACAGTTGAATATCAGCGAGTATGGTGAATGTTAGTAATCAGGGGGGGGGGGGCATACTGTTATGAAGACGAGGCATGCTGTTATGAAGACGATGTATGGCTGTGTGGTGATGTTAAAGGTCACCGGAAAAGCATCATTTTTTTTTTAAATAATGCAAGTAATTATGTCAACATATCCTTTCCTTAACTATAACCCGAACCCGAATGTTAGTATTACCTGCAACAGGTAAATTCCAACATTAATAATTTCTGCCGTTCTCCGTGGGTAGTTGTAACTTTCCGTCAATAAACAATCCTTGACGTCATTTTAGTCCTTCTGCACATAGAAATATAGACTAGAATATGAGCAGAAGGACTAAAATGAAGTCACAGATTGTTTATTTACGGAAAGTTACGACTACCCATGGAGAATGTCAGAAATTACTAATGTTGAAATTTACCTGTTGCAGGTAATATTAACATTCGGGTTCGGGTTCTAGTTATGGAAAGGATATGTTGATATAATTACTTGCATTTTTAAAAAAAATTTATGAACCTTTTCCGGTGACCTTTAAGCATCAATCAACAATCACTGTAGGTCACTTCAATGAACTTTACAACTTCCAAGTCCTGCCAACATGTGCTTTATACACATTTCAATTCAACTCATTGAATCAGATTTACAGGAAGCTTTATAATTGCACCAGCATGACTTTGGTAATATAAGACAGAGGTGAACTAATCTTGGACAAGCCTACATCATTTAGTCAGTTCATCTTCATCAATGAAATGTACAATATGTTGTCTTCATCCACCCATACAGACTTCTGTCAACTAAAGGTAAAGGTCATATTTCTTCTCAAGCAATCATAAAATGTTTGTAGCTCTCTGTAAAGCCTTTAGAATTGTATAATCAAAGGTAAGCCATTATTCACGGTAGTTTAGTGGAAACAATTTAGACTCAAGCGATCTTGTCAAAAGTTAGCCAATATACTTAAGGCATCGGTGATCTGACATACATTGTAATACTGTCACTTGTGGAGATGAGTTTTGTGAAATAATGAGGATATTTAGGATACATAAAAAAAGATATAAAAGCATGCAATACACATTAATATATCATATAAAATAAAATACATTATACATAAATATTAAACTTTCTTATGACATGAAACTATAAACAACAAATTTGCAGGGTGCCATACATGTATTACCCGTTAAAAACCATAAGGCATCACATCATAGTGAAGCCTTTGGCTCCTGCCTGAAGCATGGTATATATATTCAGATCATTTTCATATATATTCAGATCATTTTCAATTTGACGAAACAATTTCATAATTGAGAGATCAGGGCACTGATTACCAAATGTAATTTGTTGATGGCCATACTGCTATATAATGTCATAAAAAAGCTTGGGTTTCAGGAATGCAAAACTTTACAGAAAACAACTAACGATTCAATATCTGTCAAACACAGGCAGGTTATAGAAACACATTTTTATTTTATATACCAGACTGATACTTTAAGAGAGCAGACCTATTAAGATCAAAATTTCTTTCAAAAATCAAAGGATCGAAAAATGTTCAGCTTCAGTATACAAAAAAACATAGGCCCTTAAAAAAATGATAGGTTTTGTAATCCTGTCACCAAAAGTAAACAAAAGGAAAAGCCTCATTCCATGTCAAATTAATACATGCAGAAAATGTCAATATATCAGATTTACACCAAAATTGTTACACTTGCGTATGTTAAGAAATCCACATCTCAGAACTATAGGTTATATTGTTAATAAGTATAATTTAAGATAAGTAGTTTAGGTATTTCACCCTCTGATGTTTCTTAAAATAGATTAATTATTGGACAATCTGTTACTTGTCTCCATTTTCTCTTTCCTTATATGGATTTTATTTCTCTTATTACGGATTAGGATTTATAGCGTACAGTGTTTGTACATACAATAATCAAGGCTCTTTGTTTATTATTGTAAACAGGAGACATCCTATAGCCCTTAATCCAATTTTAGCCGGGTGCTGCTGGATTCATTTTTGTTGCATTTGATTTGACATGTAATGAAGTAAAACTAAAGTAGAGAGGGGTTAATACTACCTTATAACCGGAACAATAAGCGTAAAGTAATGTACTAATACCTGAGTAACTGGAAGGATGATGATTATCCTCCGTTTCAACACGTTTAAAGCCAAGGCCTGCTTTAACACTACAATAGACGGCGACTGCTATAGCTATTACTATGATAACAGCTAATAACATGCCTATAAACCAACCAATATTAGCTATAAGGGCAGTGGCCGCAGCTGAAATTGAAAAAAAGAACTCTGTTACGATTATACAATTGGTGTAAATAATCGAAAAAAAATAATGGTTGAATAATTTTAATTGGGCTGGCAATAACATATAATACAATATAAATTCATACACTGGCGCCAACCAGAGGAATAACCCCCAAAATAAAACCCAAAAATTAAAGTTTTATCAAAATATTATCCATGATAGTTAAGTTAAAAGAGCAAGGAAACCGACAATACACACCTACGCCTACGGTTGTAACTTCTTCAGTACTAGATTCAGATCTCTGTGCTCCGTTCGTGGCTACCACACGTACTTCATAAGTTGTACCAGCTTCAAGATTGGTGATATTCTTCCATCTATTAATAACTTCATCAGTTGATTTTAACCATTCAGGGGCATCTAAATAAAATTTAATGGTAATATTTTTAGATTTCAAAATCAAATAATCACACATCTAAAAGATTATTATATTTCTCTCTGATGTCCTCTAATACTACATGGTCTTGTAATTGGAACATCGAACATCAGAGAAAAAAAATCTTTTTATAGTCCTTCATTTGAAGGCATTTCGATCCGGAGCATTTCAGATACATACCTAATTTTCTATATTCCACAAATATAACAGTTCCTGATTTAACATATGGGTTTAACCACCAGGTAATATTGATATGATGTTCTCCTACTGATGCTATTGTATATCGTGGTGCTTGAGGACCTATAAGGTATATAGACAAAATTAGTACTCACAGCAATATTAAAATTTGAATAATTTTTAGAGGCTATTCAAAACTTAAGAGTTGGTATTTGCTATCCGATTCTAATTTAAACTAATGGTATTTTATCAGTTTTTGTCTCCTAATGGACATTAATAGCATTAATTCAAAGAAATAAAAAATATTCACAAATAAACAGATCAAGCACAATATCTTGATATGAAAGATTTGTGAAATCATGAACTCAGAAACCATTAAAATGTTGATCCTTTTGAATAATTAAATTGCACTCATGATTTAGAATATTTGAATAGTAGAATCAAATTTGACACCAACAAAGATGGATTTCTAATTAGCATGGGAGATCAGCATGTTGTTGGCTATGACTGTGCCAAGTGGATATCAATTTGATCACAGTCAGAATACTAACCATTGATCATTAACGCCAGTTTGAAATATAAAAAAATTGACTGATTGGGACAGGCTTCACTAATCCTAACCCATATAAGTGAATAACAGAGAACAACATAAGGTATATGGTTCTTTTATTATATGGCCTTTAAAACTAATGTTGGATTTCACTGTATTTGATTTAGTGATACTTACTGCCTGGCTCAGTAGTAACAAGTTCTATAAAATAACTGTCTCCACGGCCTTGAGCTGTTCTCGCCCAGATATAAACTCTGTACTTAGTTTCTGATAGAAGCCCACTCAACATTGCACTAGTCTGGTAAGAATCTCGAATCTGTGGTTCTCGATCTTGCATTTTGCCTAAATCTAACCCATTTACAGTCTGGTATCCAATGTCATATCCTATAATTTGTCCATTCTTATCCAATGGTTCCAACCATTCCAGGTTAAAATGATTGTTACCAATACTTCGGGCTAAAAATCTTTCTACTGGACCGGGTACTGGAATGATACAAATACATTAAGAACTAGAATAAAGCTAGGTTTGACTGGGGGCAATATCTTAAAAATACTGTGAATATTGATATTTTTACAACACCTACTAACAATAAATATTTGTTAACTTAAGTTCATTAATCCTCACACCAGTGTATCGTCAAAATTTGAAGCATGTAGTGCCCACAGTTGGTTCGGTGTACATGTACTTCCAGCCATGGGTGGAACTTTTGAGATAAACCAAAACAACAACCTTGTAGTGTATAGGCCATGAAGCTTTCAGGAACTTGGCAGTCAAAGGGTTGATAACAGATTCACATGAAAACACAAAAATCTTACCTCCAGGTAAAGTCTGGAATCGTATTACATCAGTTGGTCGACTAACAAAGAAATTATTCATCACAGACACCCGAGCTTCAATATATATATATGGCAAAAGATTTTTAATTACAGCGATGACTTTATTTCCTTGAGCATATTTCTTGGCCTCAGCAGCAGATATATCATATTCTCTGACAGTATAGGCTTTGTTTTGTTGTTCCCAATACTGAATCTAAAAGGGAAAATTAAGCAAAGTTAACATTTGCAAATATTTAGAATACACCTACAAGCAGAGAGATTAACAGAACATGGAGAAACAGGTATTGTTTTCGTAAAAAAAAAATTTTTTAGGATTTTAGTCAGAGTATGCAGCCAAAACTGTGCATGGTGCAAACATTATGCCAACGTAGATATTTTTGGCCTCCATGGAACTATTTGTTATATATAAATTGGCTCATTTTTGACAATCAGTAAGTGTTTTAATGATGGGACAAAAGTAATCTCAGATTGCCCATCATATCATGGTTATTTCTCAACGGATCTTCATCTGGTTATCATTTATGAATTCTTTGGAAGGATACCATAGGGGCTCTGACTGATGTTTTTTTAAATTCGGAAGTTTGCTCGATTAGTTTTAGCAGCAAAGATTTACGAAAGTTTTCTTCAGCATTTTTTCGACATTCAAGATGACTTATCTCTGTTTGTATTTGAGGTATGAAGCTGAAACTTGGTAGGAATAAGAAACGCATAGATGCCCTTTCTGGTGGCAGCTTTCGGAAACTTCGGGAATTACAGTGTTCCTCCAATTTTTCCAAATACTGTTCTCTCCATTTTAAAAATAGACCAAAAATAACATATTGTGGTGCTATCTCAACATATCTTTCATTTTCAGAAACCTTGTTCCATAACATTTTCAATCACGTGGCTGCCATATTGGATTTTACAAATAAATCTCCAAATCGATATTCAGCCGCCATTTTGATTTCGATTTTTGAAAAAAAATTTTTTATTTTAAACCTACTCCAAATGCCAAAAATTCTTAGGGAGTCGATTTTTGCATTTCAATTTTGTTTATTTCTAGTTTCACCTTGAAATTTTTTTTGACTTTTGACCTATTATCTGGTGTCAGTCGTTCAATGATCTTTGCATGTATGATGACCCTACTGACAACTAATATCAAAAAATTCTGTCTTGAAGTATAACTTCCGGTTTTATTAAACATACATTATGTAAGAGCTAAATCTGCCTATTGTAGGTCTTTCTTTAGGCCTGAAATGTTACACAGACTTTCAATTAGACATTTATTAACTCTCAATGTCATCTTATATGTCCGATTTTCATTGGATTTGAATCCGATCTACTGTTCAACGCCCACTGATGGATTATCAAGAATTATCATTACAGTGGTAACAATGAAAATCAAGGCTACAGTGATTTTAAAATAAGGTCTTCTCGGCTTAGAATGGAGCAATTTGACTGACATTTTCTGCATATAATGAGAACTGCCAGCTCTTTATCTAATCTTCAATAATGTATGTTTATGAGTTTAAAATTACAGGTTTTTCCACTTTAACAGGTATTGTATGTTACTATACTCAATAGTTCATGGTGTAACGTGATTGTGGAATTTAAACTCACAACATGCATACAGGTCACAGAAGTGTGATCCCCAAGTTTGTAACCCACTGATAGCCCATAGATGGTGAATAGAGTAACAGAGAATTCTTTTTCAAATAATGTTAGACACTGAAATAAAAAACAAACCTTAAAACCTTTAAATTCTCCTCTAAGTGGTGTATCTATTTGATCAACCGTATTCATATCAAAATTCCACGATAGGGTAGCAGATGTTATGTTGATCATCTCAGTTGCTAAATTAGTAGGAATAACAGTTGGATCTAAAAAATAATCAAGATATCATAAACTATAAGCTTACTATAAACTTTATATTAAACTAAGTAAAAAATTTCTAGCATCACAAACTATAACACATATTAAACTTAGTAAAACCTCTAGCATCAAACACTAGAACTTATATTAAACTTAGTAAAATCTCTAGTATCACAAACTATAACTATATTAAACTTAGTAAAATCTCTAGTATCACAAACTATAACTCATATTAAACTTAGTAAAAATCTCTAGCATCACAAACTATAACTCATATTAAACTTAGTAAAATCTCTAGTATTATAAACCATAACTCATATTAAACTTAGTAAAATCTCTAGCATCACAAACTATAACTCATATTAAACTTAGTAAAATCTCTAGTATCATAAACCATAACTCATATTAAACTTAGTAAAATCTCTAGTATCAAAAACTATAACTCATAAACATACTTAAATCTCTAGCATCACAAACCATAACTCATTAAATTTAGTAAAATTTCTATTATCAAAAACTATAACTCATAAACACACTAAAATCTCTATCATCACAAACTATAACTCATATTAAACTTAGTAAAATCTCTATTATCAAAAACTATAACTCATAAACATACTAAAATCTCTAGTATTAAAAACTATAACTCATATTAAACTTAGTAATATCTCTAGCATCACAAAGTATAACTCACATTAAACTTAGTAAAATCTCTAGTATTAAAAACTATAACTCATATTAAATATCTCTAGCATCACAAACTATAACTCACATTAAACTTAGTAAAATCTCTAGTATTAAAAACTATAACTCATATTAAACTTAGTAAAATCTCTAGCATCACAAACTATAACCCATATTAAACTTAGTAAAATCTCTAGTATCATAAACCATAACTCATATTAAACTTAGTAAAATCTCTAGCATCACAAACTATAACCCATATTAAACTTAGTAAAATCTCTAGTATCACAAACTATAACTATATTAAACTTAGTAAAATCTGTAGTATCACAAACTATAACTCATATTAAACTTAGTAAAAATCTCTAGCATCAAAAACTATAACTCATATTAAACTTAGTAAAATCTCTAGTATTATAAACCATAACTCATATTAAACTTAGTAAAATCTCTAGCATCACAAACTATAACTCATATTAAACTTAGTAAAATCTCTAGTATCATAAACCATAAGTCATGTTAAACTTAGTAAAATCTCTAGTATCAAAAACTATAACTCATAAACATACTTAAATCTCTAGCATCACAAACCATAACTCATTAAATTTAGTAAAATTTCTATTATCAAAAACTATAACTCATAAACACACTAAAATCTCTATCATCACAAACTATAACTCATATTAAACTTAGTAAAATCTCTATTATCAAAAACTATAACTCATAAACATACTAAAATCTCTAGTATTAAAAACTATAACTCATATTAAACTTAGTAATATCTCTAGCATCACAAAGTATAACTCACATTAAACTTAGTAAAATCTCTAGTATTAAAAACTATAACTCATATTAAATATCTCTAGCATCACAAACTATAACTCACATTAAACTTAGTAAAATCTCTAGTATTAAAACTATAACTCACATTAAACTTAGTAAAATCTCTAGCATCACAAACTATAACCCATATTAAACTTAGTAAAATCTCTAGTATTAAAACCTATAACTCATATTAAACTTAGTAAAATCTCTAGCATCACAAACTATAACCCATATTAAACTTAGTAAAATCTCTAGTATTAAAAACTATAACTCATATTAAACTTAGTAAAATCTCTAGCATCACAAACTATAACCCATATTAAACTTAGTAAAATCTCTAGCATCACAAACTATAACCCATATTAAACTTAGTAAAATCTCTAGTATTAAAAACTATAACTCATATTAAACTTAGTAAAATATCTAGCATCACAAACTATAACCCATATTAAACTTAGTAAAATCTCTAGCATCACAAACTATAACCCATATTAAACTTAGTAAAATCTCTAGTATTAAAAACTATAACTCATATTAAACTTAGTAAAATCTCTAGCATCACAAACTATAACCCATATTAAACTTAGTAAAATCTCTAGTATTAAAAACTATAACTCATATTAAACTTAGTAAAATCTCTAGCATCACAAACTATAACCCATATTAAACTTAGTAAAATCTCTAGCATCACAAACTATAACTCATATTAAACTTAGTAAAATCTCTAGTATTAAAAACTATAACTCATATTAAACTTAGTAAAATCTCTAGCATCACAAACTATAACTCATATTAAACTTAGTAAAATCTCTAGCATCACAAACTATAACCCATATTAAACTTAGTAAAATCTCTAGTATTAAAAACTATAACTCATATTAAACTTAGTAAAATTTCTAGCATCACAAACTATAACCCATATTAAACTTAGTAAAATCTCTAGTATTAAAAACTATAACTCATATTAAAATTAGTAAAATCTCTAGCATCACAAACTATAACCCATATTAAACTTAGTAAAATCTCTAGCATCACAAACTATAACCCATATTAAACTTAGTAAAATCTCTAGTATCACAAACTGTGTATATTAATCATACTAAAAATGTTTTTAGTATATAGACCATAATCATATCAAACTTACAATTCTAAAGTATCATAAACCATAATTATATTAAACTTATAATATTCCTCAGAATTATCATAAACAATAATCATAAATCTATTATATTCCCCCGAGTATCATAAACAATAATCATAAACTTATAATAATCCCCTAGGTATCATTCATTAACTTATAATATTCTCATGAGTAAATAAACCATAATCATGTTAAACTAATAATATTCCTTCGAATACCATTTCTTGTAAACTTACAATCTTCTCCTGAAAATCCAATAATTGTCTTGGCGCCACCAGCTTCACCTTGGCCGTTTCTGGCTTTAAGTGTTATTTCGTATGGTTGATAGATGTCACCAGTAGACATCTCATAACGATCCATCCTCCAATCATCAATAGTGATAGAATTTGTGTTCTGATCGGGATCACCGCGTTTTTTTATCTGTAACACATACTGAAATCCTGGCCCATTTTGTTGAATTCTTGGCATTGGCTAAATTAATGAAAGGAAAATGATCAATATAAGTAAAGCACAATTTAAGCTAACCAGTTGTCAAAACACATTCAAATGCCCAAAATCATAAAATGTCATTCAGAAAGGAATCAAAGGATATGTTATATTGCATGTATGATCATGTTATATTGATACAATAAATATATAAATAAATTTACAAAATAATAATACAAAAAGACAAATGACTTGATAACAATAATAAGTACTGAAATGCAGTCTGAAATGGAATGGGGTAAAATATCTCATTAAGACAATACTTTGGTATTCTAAGGCAAAAAGGGGATCACGTGGCTAAGTGGATAAGACGCTAGCTCGCTAGCCTGGAGGTCGGGTGTTCGATCCCTGCATTAGCCGAGAAAGTTCATCCAGATTTTCCGGCGTGGCTCTCCATTGTCAGTGATGCAGGACAGAGGGGCTGACCAGGAAAGCTGTCTAGTCGTTCGGATGGGACGAAAAACCGAGGTCCCGTGTACACATTGGCGTGCACGTAAAAGATCCCTTGGCAGTTGGAATTCGATATAAGAGTAGGCCGTAGTGCCGCTGCCCGGGCAAAATTTCCCTCATAGCACACTGTATGGCGTATGCCCGTCTTCATTAGCCCAGGTTAGGAGCAGAACAGTAGGACGTTAAACCCCATTTCATTTCATTTCATTTCTAAGGCAAAAATATGTTAATTTTTATTATTATGATTGGGCATAAAATGTGAGAGCAGAATTTCAGCGCAATTAATAGTGTTTCAGCTAGCCTACTCTTCTTCGGACGTCAAAGAGGAATAACTACGCCACAACATGATTTGGAAATTTTGTAATAGCTATTACATGTAGGCTTCGTCCAGTTCTAGCCGAAAATAGAAAATAATTCTTAACTCACTGTCCACTCCATGTAAAGATAATTTCTCTTGTAGCCGATTGTACGTAGATTTTCCGGATTTTTACTAGGAAGAGCTGGGTTTGTCCTACAACCACTTTCTGATGGGAAACTAGGGTCACTTTCTCCGATCTTGTTATATGCTATAACTCTGTATGTGAAGTTAGCATATGGCGATAGTGGCAACGTTACTTGAGTCTGAGTAGAATCTGATTTAACACCGAAGTTCCACTGGTCCTGATTAAAAGATGTATTGTACTGGATAACAAAGTACTGTATAGGAGCGTTGTTGTAACTTCCTGGTGTAAATCTGATTGTAGCATTGCTATCACATCTCTCTACACGTACATTAGTAGGAGCGTCTGGACGATCTGCAGAACAATAATAAAGTGAAACTTAAAACCAATAAAAGCGCAGACTAATCATTCTTGATATCCACATTAGCGATCAAAAGCTAATTTTTTTTAATTTTTTAAAATTAATGCTGATTGGGAGATAAAAATAAACCATCCAATGAAAAGGAACGTTATATTCGCAAATTGTCCAATAAAAATGAATTGCTTTAACAAAGGATCTCCAGGAATTTATGTAATAGGTCAAAGGTGAAAATTCACAATGGGGCATTATTCCAACATTATCAAGACTAACTTACGGCTAATAATTCTATGATGTGGAGAGTGACATGGAATCAGAATTTTTAGGATTTGCTGCCTATCATATAGTGGAATATGATAATGTCGAAGAAATAAACTATTTATTTTTATATTCGATGTTACAAGGAATATGAATACTCTATAGCAAAGATCAAGCATGTCCGCCATCTTGGACATGCTTTCAGTCTTACAGATGATACAACAAAACTTACAGTTAATATTTCTAGAATAGGGAAAGTTCAACTGAATCAAAATTCAGTGTAGAGGTATATTGGAATATAATAGTGTCTAAGATTTCAGTTATGTATTTTTATTTCCGACGCTATGAAACATGTAAGACGACAATTCCTGTGAAATATTCGTAGGCAGAAATATTGATAGCGTTCAGTTGGAGTGACATTTCTTTTTAAAAGTTATATTTATATTTCCTGTGAAAACTTGTGAGAGACTATATTTGTGTTTTATTTCAAAAAAATCTTTTGGGATATTTGAGGTGTTTTGAAATATTTTTTGAATTGTATTCGATAACATAAAGGTTGAGAAAACAATAGACATATAACGACAACCTACCTTTGACAGTCAACATGGCTGCCTTTCTTGCATTGTCAAGACCATTGGTTGCTATGCAAGTATATGTTCCAGAATCTCTTGTAATGGTTCCACTTATGGTCAAGGAATTATCTTGATTATTGGTTGTCATTCTTTGGTCATTTGGGGTGATAGGTTTGTTGTCTTTTTCCCAAAGAATCTCCAAATTATGAACTTCTTCAGGGTCAGTTGTGCCAGAACATGTAAACTTTGCATCATTTCCAGCAATAACCTCAAGATCCAAGGGCTCTTGCTCAATCAATGTTTTTCGCCGAACGGTTAATCTTCCAGTTGCATTGTTTTTTCCGTAGCGATTCTCAGCTAAACACAAGTAATTACCCGCATCCGATAACACAACATTCTATAAAATAAAAATAGAAGAATTATTACAAGACGCAGAATTTTTTCTTTTCAAAGCAAGGTATAGACAAGTGGTTCAAATTAGGTTTTATCATATGAATTTGGTGCAGAAAAGTAGGACTTTAAACTGCCTTTCATGCACGTCATAAACTAAATGCCACTTTAGGAATAATAGATTTGTAAAACTCAATCAATTTCTGACTAAATCTTCCTGGGAAGGAGGGGACGGGTTACAAAGAACTGTAACTATTCTTACCTGAATTAATAAATCTCCGTTTAGCTGAGTTATATAACGACCTCCTGTTATCTGCTGACCTTCTATAAACCAAGTAATCTGTGGATCAGGTTTACCAGTAGTAAGACAAGATATATTCACAGATAAACCTTCTGCTGTAACTTGATTAGCTTCAGGTGGTCGAATTATAGTTGGTGACTCAGCTAGAAATAAATAAAAACTAATTCATCCACATAGCTGGTGACTCAGCTAGAAATATATAAAAACTATTCCACCCTTAAAATTAAACTATATAACTCTTATAGGTTTTATTAGTTCATTAGATCACATCCCATAATCCATCTGTATATAGCATTGTGTCCACATGGGATCCCTTTCTGGATAATATAATCAAAATATTCAAATTACGAATGAACGTCCGTCGAGGATACCAACTTCAGTCATTGCAAATTGGTTACTTTGGCGAGTCCAACCAAGATTACCAAAAGTCATTACAATATATAAATTGACAACTTTGTGATGGAGACTATATATATGTTAAACAACACAAGGTAAACAAAAATACTTACACAGCACATTTAGGTAGGAATCACCCCAGATATATCCGTGCTTATTTGACACGTTACACTGGATAACCATAGCATCATCACGCGTCACATTAACCATCTGCACAGTATCAGTTGCCAAAACTTTAAATCTACCATTCGTTATTCGGGGGTCTGTTGCCTCTGCAAAAATATAGGAAACTCATTTAAATATCTAAACAGAGATCTAAACAGAGAGAAAAATGGGGTTTAATATCCACTCGACACAAAAATTAGGTCAATTTTATTTCAATAAATCGCTTCCATGTAGGGGTCTTTAGCAGTGGGACAATGGGAGGAAATCGGAGAAAACCGACAAGTTTGAATGAAGCTGCCCAGGCCAGTCCAGTTCCACAAATATGTATAACGATTTTACTTACTTGCAAAAGGAACACCATTAACAAACCATTTTGTTTTTGAATCTGGATTACTCTGAGCCTTACATACAAAAGTTGCAGAACCACCAATGCCAACTTCTACATCGTCTGGACCATTATCTGTCCAGTATGGTCTTGCTGAGAAATAAAACCCATAATATTTGTTATTATTATTTAGTGACACCCCAGTTATTTTTGGGACAAGCACATTGTAAACATTTATATTTCAATAATTCCCTTTGTTCACATGGGTCATTAGATGTGAAAAGTAACTACAGCACTCGGGGAAAACCCATGAGGTTAACCAGGAAACCATACTCTTCACACACAGTCAGGGTTGCATAAATAACAGACTACATGCATATGATCTACAGCGAGATCAGTCAGCTACACAATCTCCAGTAAAAGATTTCAACAGCACTAACACCTCTTTAAGATAAAAATAAGAATATATGTCTTACATTCAACACGTATAGAAAATGAACTCTGTGCCCGTTGAGCACTTTGTGTATTGAGAGCCCAACATTCATATTCTCCAGCATCGCTATCCGCCAGCCTAGGAAAAACCAATTCTTGACCAAAACTAGTTATCTTAATTCCTTCTGGCATAGCCCCACCTTTGGTTCTTGTCCAATGTACATCAGGGGTAGGACTAAAATAAATTTAAAAATCAAAACTATAGACATGAAGGGGGTGCTCGACTGTCGGTATGGAATATTCAGAATTGATGGGAATGCTATGAAGTGTCACAGTTCTGTCACAATTCAGTTAGTCTTCATAACAGATGTAGCGTGAGCAGAATCATGACATAATCAATCATTTCATCTACAGCGATTGGTCAAGATAGTACAAGATTCATTTGGCTCATACCTTGTCCATCATTATAAACATAAAAACAAATAGCACATATTGCATGCACATATACATGTACATTTCTTGAAGAGAGGAAGAGAAATGTTTTACTTTCCACTCAACACAAATTTCGGGACTAACATATGGTTCAATTTTATTTCATTATTTCACTTGCAAATAGGGGTCTTTAGCAGCGGGAGGATACCAAAGGACACAGAGAAAACCTACGAGGTTAGACAGGCGACCCTACTCTTTGTCACATACAAGCAGAATCGAAACCATGCCACTTGACTCAATGACAGCCATTATGAGGCAACGTGCACGCGTTAACCAATCGGCCACTCAACCCTCCCTCATTTTTCGAAGCAAGAATCTGCAGAAATAAGGTAGTAGGCTACTGGCAAAATTATCTTCACTATCATTTAACATCTGACAATAGTAAATAAAATTAACTGTATGCTATTCTCAAAATGACTGTATTGTCTTATGAAATGTTATCATTTTTTTCTATTCCTTTAAAATTACTTACTTTCCAGAGAAAATACACTTTAGTTTAAACTCATCACCACGAAGACCGTAATGATCAGAGGGGGACGCCCACATATAGGTTACAGTATGTAATGTTTCCACAGCTAAAATAGAAAATTCAAACGACTTAAGTTTTAAAAAAATACATTATCCGCCATATGTTCTGTAGCAAACCACGCCCTAATTAAAATCTTTTTCTTGTTTGTCTCCATATTATTTGTAAAATAACTAAATAAATACTGGTATCCTTTGGTATTTTCAAACAAATAACAGCGCTTTTTTTTTTTCAAGATCACATTGCAATAGTTGACTGTTTTTTTTGCAAAAGATTTTTTCAAATAAAATGTTTGTCCACCGAGTAAAGGTTTAAACACACAATAAAGGAACTCAGCAGAATTTCACAAATTTAAGACGCCTTCCAACATATAAATTCTGTGATTTGATATATTTGGACTAAAACATATTCAAACTAATTCATGTATCCAAAGTTTGCTTTAAAGCTCTCTAAAAACATTGCAATCAGAAGAAAATTATCCAAAGCTGTAAAAATCTAATCTAAGCAGCCTTGATTGTAACGTGACTTGATTGGGGTAGAATCCATTTTTAGCTTGTACCATTTGTTTTTACTCACTGAATATATAGGCCTACTATAAATATGATAAATTCTTGGATTACCAGTATCCTCTGCCAACTTCTCTTTCCAACAATTAATTGCAAAGTTTGCCATAGCTCAAGTCTCTCAATATTCTCACAGTCTGAGATCCCCTTAGATTTTTGCCCTGTGCACGTCTTTATTTTCTATATACCGGTATACCAAATTTGACATAATTTTATTGGAAGTAACTATGAATAAATACCTTTCGTAGGAATGTATCTTTTAAAAAATAAATATCGGAATCAAAATATTCACTGCAAATTTGAAAATAAGAGTGTTTAACTTAAATACTTACTTCCTCTGGGTTGGATAAAATTTGGAACCCCAGACACAACTTTTCGTACATCTTGATTTAAAGCAATACATGCATAAGCACGACCCTCTTGTCTGTCCTCGGCCTTTACATTAGTTATTCGTAGACGAGCTTAAGAAAAGAAAATCAACACAGATCAGAAATTTGTAAAGTATGTGTTGAAAGGGAAATAACTCCACAACATTTTTGAACTTCAATAGGGCTCTTCTTTAAACTTCCGAGTTATGCTTGATAAATGAAAGAACAGGTAATGAAGGATTAACTCTACTGTTTACAACAAAACAAGTTCATAGACAAGTAGCAAACTTTTTTCTATATTGCATTCACAGGTTTTAACAGTCCAAATGTAGGCCTAAATGTAAGATAATTCTATGAAACAATTCAAAATTTACATGATTCCAAAATTTACAAACTTAGTAAGATTCTTATGCCGCAATGAGCAATCTCACATAGTTTTGTAAACAGAAAGATATTGGTAAACACTTTCAAAACTTTATGAAAAATCTATAACATCAATTCGATTTTGTTCTACATCACAAGCTATCGAAAGTCGGAATGTAATGGGGAGATAACTCTGAATTTCAATATGATCCCTTCATACCTCTAAATGAACAGTCCCTGAAAAATGTTTTTTTTTCCAACACAATTTTTGTGCATGGAATTCGTTAGATTCATTTAATAGAGCAGCCTGATAAAAAAACAAGTAAATTTGATCAATCAAAATCTCCACATGACAGGAAACTTAATATCTTACATACAAGAATTCACCACGACTGTAGTCCATTAAAATCACATCTTTTTAAATCTAACCTTGTAAATGATCAAAAATTTGACTGTGGCCATAAAACGGAAGATACACAACATCATTTCCAAAATTGTCCTTTGTATAATCTGACGACACTGTTGTCCGGTGACCCGGCATTAATGACAGGTCTGAATATGTACATGTATTTAGTTAAGCAAGTTCAGAAATACATCGAAAACACAAAGCAATTTAAATCATGATGTAGTTTCTGGAATGGAAACACATACTACAGCCACCGCAGAAGAGTTTATATTTTTGAATGAAATCGATTTAATATTTGTATCTCATCAAATAAACCTTACACTTTCGTATATTTCGCTGCTGTTATGTATGTAATCCTGAGGTATCCTCACTAGTCCATATCTTAAATATGTTTGTTTGTTTATTAGTATCTGACATGTACGTACAATTATCAACTTTGATTCATTGACCACCTATAACAATTATATTGTATTGGAGAGGACTCCTTTGTAAGTTTTAGTGACTTTATTACTTTAAAGTAATAAAATGTGCTTAAACTAAACAGTCCCTGTATGTTTGAAGACAAGGTGGACAGAATGGTGGACACAGATAAAAACAATAGGAGTCCACATCAAATACAGGAATATTACAAAGAATAGACTAGATACATGTACAATTTGATATTCATTTTTGACAATATAATATTATTAGAATATTTTAAGCTTACCTTCATGATCAAGGGTAATACGAGCATCATAATTGATGGCTAAATTATTGCCTTTAATGTTTATTGCCCAGTAAAATTGGGGACTTGGAACACTGTCAGGCAAAACACAATCCAGCGTCAAAGGATCACCTAAATTATAAAATTAAATTTAAACAAATGAGTCGTATATTTTAACATACCACTCCAATTCCCCACAGATAAACACCCTGAGAATATTGATTTAACTTGAAATGCTAGAAACCAAGGAAGTGGATTTGTCATAATTTTTGTGGGGGACGGACGAACCCGATTCTACGTCCCCCACCCCCCCTTAAATCCACACCCATGCTAGAAACCACTTATAACCAGTTCTTGTGTTCGACCCCTAAGTTGACCAAGTCAAGTCATTCAATTGGGATGATATACAATGTCATGCCTGTAAAAGAGCAATTGACAGATGGAGTTAGAAATATAAGTAGGCTGTTTTGCCAAGATGTTCCTTATATGGCCCAATGCATGTTGTATATAGGACTGTCAAGGGGAGATAATTAATGTAAAAAAAAAGAATCAGAGTTATCTTAAAGAACGTGGACGGAGATGGCTTTAAATCAGATTGTAAATGGAAGCTTAGAATATAATATGAATTAGTATGACTGTTTTCATTAGCGGTTGGTGCAGAAAGTTAGGACATGAATCCCAATTTCATTTACTTACTGTTCCTTTTTGTATTACCGTAACTAATAATTACATGATCCAACAGAATAAGTAATATCTGTCTCAGTCTGCAAAGATGCAGGGGATTAAAACAAACTTACCAAGGTTTGGTGAATGTATAATAGGGTCATCAGTAGCAAAGTCATCCAATTTGGCTATCCTTAAATTAATATTAATTGTTGCCGATATACCATAGCCATTATCAGCGAAACATTGATATAAGGCTTCATCTTTATCTTCTGGTCTGTTGATTACTATTGTACCTACATTGGGTAACTGCACCATACGATCATCATTACCACTTGGGTTAAAATCTATTTCATTTCTTGTCCATGTATACCTGTTAAAATACCAACAGTCATTATTTACAATCTAATTAAAAATATAGCTTGCCAGGCAACAAACCATTAGCCCACCAGCAGCTAGATGATTTAGTGATATGGAATATAGATATGGTTCTGAATACAGTAACATCTAAAATCAATGTCAACTAATTCTACTGTAAGTGTTTGCTAGTTGAGCTACATACATGTATAAGTTCAATTAATAGTAAGTGCAGGGGATCATACTACACGCAAACAAAATGATTAGACAAACCAGCGAACAAGACACAAACTACATCAACATTGTAAGTAATAAACAACACATATCAAATTAAGTAATTGAATCTGTTATAAAGAATTTTCAACATACTTGGGTTGAGGCTCTCCATCAGCTACACATGGCATCTGTACTGTTTCACCAGCTTTATAATAAACATCATAGCTTGGCTGTATAAACATACCAGGGGGACGTGTTACTGAAATATAATTGGAAATTTTTATACATGTAGAAGTACCATCTGAGAATCAAAATAAATCAGGATTTACGTTTGCCATGCAATGCAAGGGAATGTATTTTAAACTGAAAGCAATATGAAAAGTTTTGACAATACATGTAGGCCTATGTATTACATGTACATAAGCCCACATTAAAAATATAGATTAATATATTCATAAAGGGTTACATAAACTACATAAAATGTACGCAAGGCACTTAGAAAGCAAAGAAAAGAGATGGGAGTTTAACGTCCTATTTTCTGCACTGACTGCATGGCCTAATGAAGATGGACATACGCCATACAGTGTGGTATGAGTTGATTTATGCATAGAAAGCTGTGCTAGATTCCACTTTTATGTCGAATTCCAATTGTCAAGGGTTTTGTACATGCACACCAATGTGTACACAGGACCTTGCTCTTTTATTCCAATCTTAAAAAGTAGACACTGTAACGTTAGGGATGAAACAACCCACACCTGTACAGCACCATTGACATGGGGAAACCGTGACAGCGTTTTAATTACTGAGTCACCAAGGAAAGCAATAGTCATAGTACATACATGCATTACATTCAACTTTATATTGATAATGAATTCATTTTTACTTACTTGCGGCTATTTCATTTATACAAATTGCCCACAAAAAGGCCCATATTGTTCTAAATGCCATGGTCAAAACTGTTTTTAATTTTCTAAAAATAATATAATAGGTTAGACATTTGTAATTGATTAACATACATGTACTAGTGCCATTTAGATCTGTGCACTTAAATGCATATTCCCATTAGCCATTTATTGCACGTGGAGTGAACATCCAAGTATTAAAAGAATTATCACATTGGTTCTTGCCTTATACAGAAATATGAACATGATGCAAACAATGTCAATCAAAAATTAAAACAAACCTTTGACTTCTCACCTACTTGTAATATCAATTCAAATAATCTAAAAACTAAAAAAAATGCGCCCCACTCTGTGTTGGACTGAAAGTTGATATAAATACTGAAAGTTGATATAAATGCTGAATCTCAAAAATAATGATTGTCCAAATGGTATACATGTAACCATATATCAAATTCATTCACGTCCCAACCAAATTACAAAACTTGAAATCATTCTAGATGACCTCATGATTCATCAGAGAATAATGCTTGGTGACTTATACTATAAACAGCAACGAATAACACAACGCAAAAATCATTCAAAAATTAAATTCTACTTAAACATTCCCGTTTTTTTAAATTACTATTATCAACGTTAATATATATTGTGCAGATTATTTGAAACAGGACAAATCTCAAGGTTTTGGTTCAAAATATTTTGAGTCACCAATCGGGCATACCGCACATACACAGGTAACAAACACAATTTTAAAAGGGACGGATGAAAGCCAACTTTTATTTTATATTTCGATCCGAACCTTAAATTATGTTCGTATAATATAACACTTGTGCATACTGGCGTATAAATCTGAGAAAATGTAACCCAAGTCTTATAAATATATAATTTGAAATGACTCACCTATTCGCCCATTAACTTTAGTCCGCCATTTGCATTTCTTTCAAATTTAGGTCAACACAGGTAAAATGGCGTAAATACAAATACCTGGGTAAAATGCAAATTTAAGAATAGTTCAATTCCTGCGAACCGAAACGAAATATTGGGCTGAGCTTTATTTCATAAATAATATTGTACAAAAGAATAAGCTCTTATAATCACGACACGCGCCGAATTACCCAATTATAACATCCAATACGGTAGCATGATTTGTTTGGTCCGAGTAGTCTATTTGTTTGGTCCGAGTGGTCTATTAATTAGCCTGAGTGGTCTTGCTTCTTGGTCCGAGTGGTCTGTGGTCCGAGTGGTCATGGATTCACCAAATCTACCAAAATCCACCATTATTTCAACCCATATAATAATCACCCAATACCCTTATGAAAAAAATCCAATAGAAAAAGTCGTTCGGATGGGACGAAAAAGCGACTTTCCATAAAATACCCCTTGACAGTTAGAATTCAATTGTCCGGGCAAAATTTTCCATCTTCATTAGCGCAGTTGATGGAGTAAAATATTTTTTTAATTAAACGCTATTTCATTCGTTTGTTGTTGTTCATTGATTGAATACGTCCCAAATTAAATTGGAGTACCCTCCCTCAAATTATAGTGTGCTATGAGGGATATTTTGCCCGGACAGCGGCACTGCGTCCTACTTTTATATCGAAATCCAACTCTCAAGGGATCTTTTACGTGCACACGCCAATGTGTACGCGGGACCTCGGTATTTCGTCCCATTCGAACGACTAGACTGCTGTCCTTGTCAGGCCCTCCGTCCTGCATCACTGACAAGGGGGAACCACGCCGGAAAATCTGAATGAACTTTCTTGGACAATGCAGGGATTGAACACCCGACTTCCAGGCTAGCGAGCCAGCGTCTTACCCACTTAGCCACGTGACCCCCACCCCCAATCGACTTTTGGAAATGAAATGAAATGAAATGGGGTTTAACGTCCTACTGTTCTGCTCCTATGCTGGGCTAATGAAGACGGGCATACGCCATACAGTGTGCTATGAGGTAAATTTTGCCCGGGCAGCGGCACTATCGCCCACTCTTATATCGAATTCCAACTGCCAAGGGATCTTTTACGTGCATTCCAATATATACACGGGACCTCGGTTTTTCGTCTCATAAGAAGGACTAGACAGCCAATCGACTTTTGGCCTCGGGCGAATCACGCTTCGTCGCCGCACTCCATCCCCACATTATGTGGTATCAAATTAACCAGCATGACCCCGTGAATGTTTTACGCCATCGAATTTGGGTTCCGAGCGATTTTGGCCCCAGGCGAATTGGGCTCCTGGCGAATTTGGTCCACGGGCAAAGCCAGGTATCTTGCTAGTTCATGATAAAATGACACTCCTTGATATATATAATTCCGGTTCCAGATAAGCTCCGAAATTCGAATTCGTTCATGAAATGTTGATGACAGTAATTCTTCTTGTTTCTGCTCTGATAAGTGAACACTTTACCAAGCTTTTAAACAAAAAATTAAAACTAAAATATTATCCTAAAAGTATTGGTTTTGTTCCCGAAAGTCCGGTCGTTCGATTTAATTGCGCATGACTTATGGTAAGTGGGGGTTAAACCTAGTTTATAATCAGTAGAGATCAGAGCAGCGGAGTACCTAGAGTAAGTGCCGCTCGGGGGGGTCTTTGCATTTGAAGTCGCCAACCCTTTGCCCTAGTAAGACAGTAGACTCTAAACATACATACATGTAAAGGACTGTCTACAAACTACTACGCCAAGGCAGTAGAAACATCGAGAGAAGGGAAGACTTCAACCGAATACTGGTGAAATTGGACTGAATATTATGAGTAATCCTGTACATTGATTCTGATGACGCTGTTATACTTGTATTTATTCTCTTTTATCCCAATATAATTTTATTATTTGTACCTGTTATACTTGTACTTATACTCATTTGTTCCAGTATAATTGTATTATTTGTATAACACATACTCAAAGTGTAAAGCAAAAAAAAAACTATATAAAATTATATCCATCCACCGTCTCCGTAACTCGAAGTTACTCAAGTTTGCAGAGTCCACGGTATCGGAATGCGTATTAAAGTAAGGAAACAACAAATTCTATTACATTTATTTTTAATCGCCAACACCAAGTAGAACTACAGTAAAAGAAGATACTCTTTGGCGTAAATTTTTTGGTCTTTATTAGCATTTAAGAAATAACAATACATGTCAACTTTTAGGAAAACGTTTACACACTGCAGCATCAGGTAAGATCCCTGTACAAGGCCTGGTTACAGGCGCAGATTTAAGTGGGAGCCGTTCCCACGAGACCAACTAAGCGCCCCAAGGTTCACAAATATATAACAACAAAATCAGTAGCAATCTGCGAACAGCTATATAGGCAATACGATCTATATTCTACGAAGATGCTCACTACTCAGCGTTATTACGTATTTTGTTACATTTATTCTGGGTTGGGATTGTAGATTGCGCCCTAGCACTGGAACCGCCCTCCCTATTCACAGCTTCTAGATCCACTACTGCCTGATTATCGTTCAGTATCGAGCCTTCAACTTTTAAATATAAATTGCTGTTTGGTTTGAACTAACATGATTTGGAAAACCACTGATTCATAATGATGAAAACTATACCGTATAGGGCAGGGCCGGATAAGTTTGGTGAGCCAGGAGCCCCATGGATGAACGGTCAGGTCTAAATATTGCGACCACCTACAGATTGTTGTCGAGGATTGTGTGTTAGGGTAAGGGTAAGAATTTATTTAACGTCGGCTTCCGCCGAAAGTAATATCACTGACAATTACATATACTTATAGCTACATATTTACAAGGTGGTGTGTGTGAAATAGCTTTATTTAACGTCCGCTTCCCCATGGTTCAGTGCTCACTGTGCTCGTCCCTCTTGAGTAACCTGCTCTAAACCGGATGGTTTAACATGTGCATCTGACGAATTAACACTGGTACTACATGTCAGTTTTGAAGCGTTCTCCTTAACCACATAAATTTTGGGTCTTTCCGGAGGCGACACCTTACGTATTCCATCGCAGCAAAATAACCGTTTCAGTGTGGCGGCAAACTTCTCACCCATCAAGACATACAAAATAAAGTTTGTCGATGCATTCAAAGCATCAAAAAAACTCGCAAATTCGGAAACAACCAGAAATGTATTTTTGAGTGGCTTGAATAGTCTGAAATTGTCATCAAACGCGTACCAAATCTGATGTATAATAACTGATATCATGGATACCATGTAAACTGAGATAATTGTAAAGGCCATTTTCGTAATCTTTTTCTGTCGAAGAATTCGCTCACAGGAGAAAACATTCCTGTTTGTGAAATTCCAAAGTTCGTTCATTCTGAGTTTGATGACAACCGTCAGAGAACACACGCCAATCATAAGAACGGGTACATATCTCAGAACAACGTTACTGAAATAGTGCAAATAGAAATCATAAGTACCGAGGTTTCGTAAATAGAAATGTGTCGTCTGTAGAAGAGCCATGGACGTGTTCTGTATTGGGTCTTGAACATAGACAACTTCAAAGATAAGGAACATTGGGATGGTTGCTAAGATTGGTATTAGAAACATGAACACTACCACAATTCGTATTCGTTTGACAGAAAGTAGAAACCGTGCTTTAAGCGGCACAGTGACGGCAATGGTGCGTTCAATACCTATCAGCATGGTCAAAAAAGACGTGGTTCGTACGAACATCATGCGGAGCATAAATACTTGCGGGTACATCAAGACACCGTAATTCTTTCCACGGACAAGATCGACCCTGGAAATGATACACGAAGCTTTCTCTACCATACCCATTGAAAGATGTAGCGTATCTGAAACAGCCAATGATACCAGAATGACATTGGTGGAGTCATGTAGACCTTGGACCATCATAACGATGATACTGATAATGTTCCCAATCGTTCCAAGTAAAAAAAGGATTGGATAACAAACACAATTTAATACAAAGAAGAACAGATTAGCGGAAGCTTCTGATACCATATCTCCAGTTCGGGGAAAGCTCTCTGTCAGTTTGGTACTGTTTGAATAAGGCATCCAAACCGCTGTTGTCGCTTCCAATATTAAACTTAATGTTGTATTTGCAATAGTGTTATTTGCCGATGAGCTGTTGTAATCTGACCAAACGTTTTTCAAAACCTTGTCTCTGAATAGCTGTGGGTCCATACTGAAGTAGGCGTCTTTCTGAATTTGAAACCTGTACACAAAAATAAAGAGTTAGATTTTAAAGCAAGGACTTGGGAGACAATTTAAGTTTTTTAATCAATCAATTCATACCTGTATCTCAAAGAATTTCATAAACTAACTTTTATTGAAACAATTCCGTTTGAATTTGTCCACATAGTTGTCGTGCGGTATTTAAAAGGTGTCATAATTTCTCTATTTCTGTAACAACATCACCAGGCACCGATTTAGCCAAATACTGGTTGAAATAATAGTCATGAATGTTAAAATGATAGGTTGCCAGGCAACGAAACAATCGCCTACAGCAGCTAAATCGTCGCATATTTATTCTTTTGTAGGTAATCGGAGGCATTTACAATTTCCGTCGTTTGAGGGTTCACAAGGTTCTACAAACTGAAACAAGGGCCTTAACCCTGGAAGTAATTTACAGAAATTGTTGTAATTCGACAGGCTTTTTTGTTTTACTAATTTAGATAATGCATATAAATTTTATACAGACCGGATGATAACTTTTGTCATTCAAACGTTCACAAGGTTCAACAAAGTAAAACAAGGATCGTAACTATAGAAGTAATTGACGGAAATTTAATGGGCTTCTTCGTTTCACTAATTTAAATGCTGCATATATATTTTATACATATGGGATGATAACTTTCGTCATTCGAACTTTCACAAGGTTCAACAAAGCGAAACAAAGGTCAGAACTCTGGCAGTAATTATTGAAAATTGCTGAAATTGAGGATTCTTCGTTTCACTAATTGAAATGACTGATATAAATTTCATACAGATCGGATGTGGGCGTATAAAAATGAACGGTGGAATAAATGAAAGTGCAATGGTTGCCCAAATAACTGTGACCGTTTTCACTGTTTTTGAAATGTTTCCCTATTACTAATTTTTGGTATAGATATCAGTATACACTTGTCGGGCTGTATCTCATTTAAAAACCCAAACTGTGGTATAAATTATACAGCACTTGCAGTTTTTATTTGCGCCCATGATTAACAGGTACATAAACAAAAGAGTCACAGTCGTGTTCTTTGTCCTTTATTATCAGATGGTGGGATGGGGTGGGCATTCAAAGTGCGAGATAATGATATAGACATATGTGATATCACAATCAATGCTTTGCATCAATGAAATTTGATCCTATTAATTCATTAATAAAAATTAACGTCAAACGGGATGTTTGATTTCTCTTTAAAAAGCTCGGTATGTATGTATGCCTACGTTTTTTGGAGACCATGATGGTATCATACAAGGTCAATTGTCAGATTTCCTTAAGATGAACCCGGCAAACCCCCTCCTGCAAAAAATCCCGGATCCGCCACTGTGTACAGCTTCAAAATTAATATTTCAAATCAAGATTTTAATACAGACAATACCCTTTTTTTTGTCCTACGGAAGCGTAAAGGGGCCATGCAAAATTTTGTAGAAGACCTCGGGGTTCGATGATGCTGTGATACTTTCTAGAGATCTGTTTAATGTTTTCGAAATCCCTTAATAATTTCCCCGAGAATCTCCCATCCCGTGTTAACGATCTCGAGAATTCGAGTTAATATACTCGGGATCTTGCCATCCTGTGTAAATTTTCTCGAGATCTCGATTATGTTTATGTATGCTCGTAGTTTCTAACGTATTCTCAGCGATCCACGACCTATCGTTTCGGAGTTTATCCCTCTTAATAGCACAATGGAGCCTACAGTTTTTAACGGACTGGTTTCAAATTTGGTGTGAAGCATTGGGGTCATGAGAGGACGACTCCTATCGATTTTCAGCGCTCATCATCGTTCTGGAGTTACCCCTCCCCCTTTCCCCAAAACCTTGTTAACGCAATAGAGGCTACATTTTTAAACTGATTTTGTTCTTCAAATATGATGTGAAGCACTGGGGCCTTTCGATTTTCAGTGATCCGCAAGCTTCTGTTCCAGACTGTTTCAATGGCATTTAGTAATTGAACTAGAGTATACAGGTCACAATTCTATGGAATACAATTACTGCTTTTTACTGAGCGACGTTTCGACTAGGCTTCTCTAGTCATTATCAAGCTATGATAATGACTAGAGAAGCCTAGTCGAAACGTCGCTCAGTAAAAAGCAGTAATTGTATTCCATAGAATTGTGACCTGTATATTCTGTTCCAGAGTTACCCTCTTTGTCCGTATTTTTGTTTTCAAATATGGGACGATGAGAGGACGAACCTATCTATATTCAGCATTCTATGACCCTCTGTTCCTTAATATACCCCCCCCCCCCATCACCGAAAGCCTTATTAACTTCATAGAGGCTACATTTTTTAACTTCTGTGTGAAGCATTGGGTCATGAACTCTTGATATTCAGCACTTGGCGATCTTCCGTTCCGGAGTTACTCTCCATTCTTTGAAAACCCTGTTAACGCGTTTTTAACGGATTGTCGATATTCAGTGTTTCGTGGTAAGGATAGCCCCTGTTGATTTTCAGCAATAATGTAAGGTTTTCTGTGACAGATATAACAAGCACGGCAACACGATAGAGACTAGCTTTAAATGTAGGCTTTGAATTGCGAACTGGCTTCTTAAATTTCATTTTAATATGTCGGCGACGTTTTATTGAAAAAGTCATTTTTTGCATGGTGTTCAGACTATATTTAAAAGAAACATAAAGATAGGGACTTGACCCGGCGATTTTGAATTACAGCTTTCTTGAATATAGCGGAAGTGAAATTGCACTGAGTTTCGCAGTCAAAGGCGTTATACCTTTTCGGGGTCAGTTGCACAAATATGTATGCGAGCATTGGAATCGCAATACATCGAGAACATTCACACCAGATTTGAAAGATAGCAGCAGCTATGCCTAAAAAAGAAAGATTACCCGAAAGGACAACTTGGTTGTTGACTAAATTTAATAAGGATCTGGCATCCTTCAAGAAATCTAATCTCTATCGTGTTCACAAGGTTTTCCCGACAAATAATATTAGTATTTAATCTCTGTAACAGAAAATCTCTGTAACAGGAAATCTTACATTGCTGAAAATCAACAGGGTTTGTCCGTTAAAAGCCTAAGTCTCTATCACGTAACTCAAGAATGAAGCGGAGCGCTGAAAATCGGAAGTATTAAATTTTAAATACCCAAGATCTCCAGAAAATTTACATAGGATGTCGAGATCCCGAGAATATTAACTTGAATTGCCGAGATCGTAAACACAGGATGGGAGAATCTAGAGAAAATTATTAGGGGATCTCGAGAACATTAAATTTTGATTTCGAGAAAGTATGGTTTATTTTTCATATTCAAAGAGATTAAGATACAAAAACTATCCTTTTCGGGATTTAAGATCGTTTCACTCTATAGAAAGCAAGTAGATTTTCTATATCAAAGAAAGAAAATTCATTGATAGTTTTTTTGAGAAGGAATAATGAAACAAAATAATAAACAATTATATTTCAACTTACCTTTTCAAAGCCGACAATCTTTATAATACTTAAGTTCAAGACTTCTGCTCTCGTCGATTTTTGAAATGACAATAAATTGTACAACAATGTTCAAACCATTTATTGACGGAATCCAACCAAACAACATATCGGAAATTAAAAAAATGTTAGGAATCATGTGACGTCTGTAATTTAGATTGAGAATCGTATTTGTCTGGTCGTAAATCTGATGTATCATTAATAAACAAGCGGTTGCCATGCAAGATACGCCCACATTTTGCAAGAGATGGACAGAAAACATGCTAAAAGATAGGTCGCCAGGCAACGAAACATACGCCAATAGTAGCTAGATCGTCACACAGATCAGATTATAATTTTCGTCATTTGAGGGGTCACAAGGTTCTACAAACTGAAGCAGAGGGCCTTAACTCTGAAAAAAAAACAATTGAATAGTTTCAGTGTTGGACTCCAGCCTGCAGGCCGCGTGGATTTGAGGGGTTGGATGGCTGAATGGTTAGCACGTGCGCGCGCTGTATCATAAGGCCTGTCATTGAGTCAACTGGCGTGGTTTCGAATCCCCGGTTGTACGTGACAAGGAGTAGGGTCGCCTCTCCAGCCTCGTGGGTTTTCTCCAGGTCCTCCGGTTTCCTCCCACTGCTAAAGACCCCTACGCGTAAGCGAATTATTGAAATAAAATTGAACCATGTGTTAGTACCCAAATGACCTAGTTTGTGTCGAGTGGACGTTAAATCCCATCTCTCTCTCTTTCTCTCTCATTTTAATTTATTAGCCATATATTTTTTCTGCCCCCAAAAAAGAAAAGATATCTCTTCCCGTTTTTTGAAAGCCTTTTTCAACATCTGGGGTAACCACTTTTATAATACCTAGTAACATTAAATTACACAGTGTATGTTTTTAATGAATTTCTGTATTTGTTTTTTTATAATATTTTGTCAACTACATGTAAAATCGCTTTCACAGTTTGCAGTTGCCACAGGAATTGTGAGCAAGCGGTCACTGATAGCACGTGGATTTGAACATTTCCATTCATTCATAAAATATCTACCTTTTCCAAATGCACTTAAGATTTTATGTTTTTCGAAATTTTTGTCTGCCGCAGACTTTTGAGGTACATGCAGACCTATTGTGGAAGTTGATATCACTTCAACATCTAGGGATGTAATATCAGATGGACGAGAATTGATCATGTCAGTATCATCTGTAGTCTTGGAGCATTTTGGTGGTGGAATACTACAAAAATCTGACATAATTCTATCGTGCATTGACGAAGGCTAATCAATTTTACGCTAACGACCTATGGTATATGATTTGATAATAAAGGACTTTCGACAATCCAAAGAATATATACGCATTAATAAACTGTAACAACAAACCTGGCTTCATTTATTAACTCTAGACGTAATAAACGGAATTTGCTGAAATTCAATAGGATTCTTCCTTTTACTAATTTAAATGACGCATATAAATTTAGAAGTAATTCATGGAAATTGCTAAAATTCAATAGGCTTTTTCATCCCACTATAAAATAGAAATATTGAAAACAATTTGTATTAGAACATCAGTGCGAATCCCAGCCAGCCCATTTTACAGACAGTCTAATAAGAGGCTATATAAAATAGAGTAGAATTTTATTGCATCGAAACGTCCTTTGGGGACAGCATACAATATATGAGAAACCTTTTCGCCAAAAGTCGACCAAGTTACGAACCCCAGTCAATCGTATCAATTCAGAAGATTTCGTCGCGATTTGATGGTGACCATCATATTTTCAAATGTACATTAGAATCTCTCGTTCATCCAAGGGAACCTCTGAACTTGTGTTTAACCCAAAATGTGGTTATGGGCTGATCTTTTTCAAATTTGTAATAGGAATGGGTGTATGTTTCGTTTCATTGCCTTGCCTGGTAACCTATGTTTATGTACGTCACATAACATGAGAGCACAGTTGGCTAAAGATGACAGAACACTTGTATTATTCAACACAATAGGCACACATTTACTTTAAAATATCCGTTTACAAGGCCGTCCGGGACTGGACTCCACAATACTCCACATTCATTAGGAATTATGAAATGAATGGGGACACATTTCTGTATTTATTTCTTTATTTCATTAACTCATTCAATAATTTATTTCTGAAGCCATTCACATACATGTACATATAAATCTTTAATCTTTCAATACCAATAATACATACCCGGTTCTATCTCATTCAGTTTTATAATATTCCATTTTGAACCCTGTCCTGCCTGTATTGTGTTCATAAGATAGTAAAAATAATATGAACGTAAATGTCAAAATTTATCAAAACTCTGATTTATAGTTTGTCTATAAGGTTTTATGGACAGATGAGGGACACATGTAACAACAATATTTGGCAGTGGTCAGTTTCCCCCATTGTAAAGATTTTTACCATGCTTGGTACCGTTTCAATTGTCTGTAAATGAATGTTTTGGATTTTTATAATATGTGAGTTCATAAAAAATGTCCAATATTTAATTTATTGGTATTCATACTCATAGCCAATAGTAACAAGCCAACAGTGAGGCTGATGTCCCCTGCCGAAATAAATAGATGACGCATATTAATTAATCGCACATTTATTTTTTTCACTAAGTTTCATCACTCTCTATCAGATAGAATCAAGATTATCTTGTCCCAAACCATCGACAAATGAAATCGATTAGCTCTGCTTAGCTTCAGCTCGAAATGTTAATTATTGAACTCAGTCAAGACATTCACCTAATCTACATATACATCAAGTTTAAACATTCACCTAATAGACACCTATGCTAGTTTGAACATTCTACCTCAATTAGAAGGAGAGTTATTGTGTTCCAAAGTTTCGACCAATCAAATTGCTTATCACTCTGCTTACCCTCAGCAAAAAATGTTCATTATCGAACTTAGTTAAGGTATTCATATAATAAATCTATACACCAAGTGTCCTCACTTTCACTTAATTAGAACCAAAGTTATCGTGTCCCAAAGCATCAAACAATCAAACTGCTTATCTCTGCTTACCCTAAGCAGAAAATTCCCATCTTCAAACTCCATCAAGGCATTCACCTAATTGATACCTACGCCAAGTGTGAACATTCTAACTCAATTAAAATGAGAGTTATTGTGTTCCAAAGTCTCGACCAATCAAATTGCTTATCACTCTGCTTACCCTAAGCAGGAAATGCTCATTGTCGAACTTAGTCAAGGTATTGACCTAATAAACATCTAAAACAAGTTTGAACATTCTAGCTCAATTATAAAGAGAGTTATTGTGTTCCAAAGCCTCGGCCAATCAAATTGCTTATCGCTCTGCTTACCCTGAGCAGAAAATGCTCATTATCGAACTTAGTCAAGGTATTGATGTAATGAAACTATACACCAAGTTTCATCACTCTGACTTAATTAGAACTAAAGTTATCGTGTCCCAAAGCATCAACCAATCAAATTGCTTATCTCTGCTTACCCTAAGCCGAAAATGCTCATCTTCGAACTCCATCAAGGCACTGACCTAATAAACACCTACACCAAGTTTGAACAGACAGACAGACACAGACAGACAGACGGGGGACATCAATTCAAACTCATTGATGCATATTAATTGATATTGAAAAAAATCACCATGAAACAGTAATAATAGATTATCAAAAAAAATAATCTGTAAATTTAAAATCACAATTTTCTTTCCAGGGATTTTAAAAGTGGTCTATCAAGTCCTGTATTTATTATACCATAAAACAATGTTCACAAAGGCGTCTGCTTCTGAATCAACTTTCGTGATCGGATGAGAATTATCTTCATATTCTATCAATCTGTAAAAATATGAAATGAGAAAACATAATCATACAGGTGCACATACCAATTCTTTATTCAAAGAAGTTTTATATAACCCAGAGTTTTAATCACCTTTTCCGAATTTTTACTAGATTTTTATCAATTTAAACATTTATATTAGGTCAGTTTCTATTTACCGTAATTGGAAAGGAAATAGCGAGGATTCAATATTTGTATTTTGAACAAGGAAGTACATCATCTTTGTCATAAAACATCCAATCAGATCCCATTCATTACAACAACTCTTTACAGAACAAATTAAATTAATATACATGTAATTTCAAATTACACTGTAATTTTGTTACCATTCATACCTGGAAGTTTCAATCAGTAGATAATTGCCAAATTTTGCAATGTAGTAATTGTACACATTAAAATAATCCATTACTGTGGACTTGTCCTATTTTAATTTTCTTTTGGCATTTGTTTCTAATGTACCACATGTAGTACTTGTACATATTAAAATAGTCTGTTCCTGTGGAATTGTCCTATATTTTGGTTTTGATGGACTATGTATGAATTACACTGCCCTTTGGCTTCAGATCAATGCTACCATATTTTATGTTATTCATATCATATAAAATTTACCATATTCCTTAAATTGTGACCATGATCTTAATATAAAACACACCTTGAACTTCAAAATGTCTAATTTGCGAGGAGATACTTGCAGACGTTATCCACAGAATCAGGGATCTAGTTTCAGTCATATTTACAAGTTTTGTCTGACTGGCAATGAAATTGACAAGCTGGAGAATTTGCCTGTCTCTAAATAAAAAGATCTTTTAAAAATAATGATGGTGAGCTGTAGGTTTGTTGCACTTTCTGCAGGCAAATTCCATTTTCTAAAATGGTTCTTAAAATCAAAAAAACTTTGTCTCGGAACAAGATTATCTGTCTATCTACAATTCCAACATATCTAACGATTTATTTTTAACGTATGATAAATAAACCATTGTGGTTCCCACCTGGTTGGAATTTGGCGTGATTTTAGAGCTCTGTAATATTCCCGAGCTTGAGTTGGTGGAACACGTAAATCATCCTTACCAATCATCAATAATAATGGGGTCTTCACCTATAAATAAGAAATATACATCCTTAGATCAGATTTATAAATAGAAGTATAACATTAATAAAAAAAACCCCATAACTTTAGGGAAATACTACTTCTTTATTTCATGATCATTGCTTGCTAAAGATACCTGCAAGAGGGGTGTTTATTAGTTAAGAGCGAGACATTAAGTAATATTGATACTGGATGAGGACGTTAGCCAGAATGCGGTTTAAAAAATTACGCAATGTCTTTCTCTAGAACATTAAACAACTTGAAATTTTAAGTCTAATTTAAGCCACTAGGAATGGTGAGTCGAGTCAAATCAAGTCAGTTGAAGACAAACTTCTCCAAGATGTTGTTAGACCTTACTGCAGCCTAAAAATAAACAAACTGAAAATGAAATGAAAAAACTTTCATCTTCACCAAACCAGGACTATTCAAATTTAACTTTATAGACTTGTCCTTTTCAAACTCAATAATTTGCTTTCAGATACAGATTTTGGCAGTGGGAGGAAAACAGAGGACCTGGAGAAAACCAAGTGGGCGACCCTACTCCTTTTCACATCTAAGCTTGGAAATGAATCCACAACACTTGTCTCAATGACAGACCTTATAAAGTGCACAGCTTAAACAATTTGCCCCTACTGCCACAAGTCCTAGCAGATGTCTTATATTAAAAACGTTCCAATAGATTATTATACAGTACTTGTTAGGCCTCTGACAATATACCAGTATATCTATATACTCGATACTGTATATAAACAATATATTTCTGAATGTCAATGTATCGCTACATTTACATTCTTTAATAGTCAATAACTTCTTGATCTTTATGAAAAAAAAGTATGATAGATGATAGAGAAGAGTCCTCATTTGACAAAATGTTGTTGGTTAATAGATATACTATTCAAAAAAAGTAGGGGATATTTGATTTTTAAGTGTTATTAAAGTCACCTAATGAAACTGACGAAGAAACAAATGACAAAATGAAATGAAGTTCACATTCATCGATTTATTCCAAATGATCGTTAGACTAAGTAAGGCACAGACTGACCATTATAAGGGTAAAATGATACCCGGGGTCAAACAGCAAAGTTACCACAGCATCACAACCAAGTCAGTAACGGGTAAATCCTCCTCTGTTTGCCAAACAAGCATTGATCCGACGTGGCATACTCCTAATGAGACGTCTAAGGTCATTTTGGTCCAGATTGTCCCATTCCTGTTGCAACGCAGCAGCAAGTTCTTGGACATTGGCAGGACGTTGTTGACGTTGACGTAACCTCTGTCCAAGCATGTCCCAGACATGCTCGATGGGGGAGAGGTCGGGACTCAGTGCTGGCCAAGGTAATGTGGTGATGTTCTGTTGTTGGAGGTAACCTGTAACGATCCTGGCCCTGTGACATCTTGCGTTGTCATCCTGGAAGATGAAACGGCGGCCATGACGTCGTGCGAACGGCACAACATGGACTGCCAAGATGTTGTCCCGGTAGTACTGGCCTGTAACACGCCCTGCAACAACATGTAAAGCCGTTCTTCCAACAACAGTGATGCCTCCCCACACCATAACAGAACCACCCCCAAATCGATCATGTCTGATGACGTTAACGTCTTGGAAGCGCTCGTTTCGACGACGCCACACCCTCCTACGTCTGTCCAAAAAATCAACAGTGAACCTTGACTCATCTGAAAACATCACATTGCTCCAGCGTCGATTATCCCAGTGTTGACGATCCCTACACCAACGACGTCTTGCCTGAATGTGATGATCTCTCAAACAAGGGATCACGCGAGGACGTCGGGCGCGAAGGTGACCCCTATGCAGTCGATTCCGAATCGTCTGGCCACTCACTCTCACACCAGTGTCTGTTTGAAGACGAGCGCTGATCTGATTTGCTGTGATGACACGATTTCTCAAGGCCAAGGTACGGATAAATCGATCCTGGGCTTGAGTTGTCGCCCTTGGTCAACCTGAGCGTGGTCTGTCCTGTACAGATTGTGTATCACGGTATCTGGACCATAGCCTGCTTATGACAGACTGAGAAACATTCATCGTCCGCGCCACAACCGCCTGTGTTGTGCCGATCTGTAGCATGCCGAGGGCATGTAACCTTTCATTTTGGGTAAGCCGACGCATACCAAAATTTGTTTTCTGGTCACTAAAACAATTAAACTGATGTTTCCACCCTGGAATTCAATGCCACAATGACTGTAACATTCAAAGTCAGAGTCGTGCAAATCTTGGGTTGGACCCCCATGATGATCCCAAGCATCACCTGCATTCCATGCGGTAGCTATTGGTGCGTTTGGGCGTCACATGTAACTGGAAATGTTTCTTCTGTTAGGTTCTATAGTGACTTTTTTCGTAGTCATTTGCATATTTTAGTATTATGCCCCCAAAATCAAATATCCCCTACTTTTTTTGAATAGTATATTTTACAACAATCACACCAATAACCTTTTTTCGTGGCAATATAAACAAGAGCATTGCTAACGCTGCAATATACGTCCACATTCCAGCTTTGATTGATATGGTACTTTTTAAAATGAAGAGAATGAAAATGAAATGGCTGTAATATGATCAGAGGCAAAGAAGGCTAGGCGTCGGGTTTGTTTTGCCAAATTTACAGACAAAATACTAACAATAAAGTGGGTGTGACACTGCCCCAAGAGGTCGGGGCAAGTATCAAAATAAATTGTTGCTGTCTTTATGGTATAAGGAATAAATATGCAAAGTTCCAAGATGATCCATTCAGAATTGCAGTCTGTAGACGATAAATACAAAAACTGGGCGTGGCTCTGCCCATGGGGGTTGGATATGGAAACAATATAAACAGGTACCATTCTGTTATTGAAATGGCAACATCAATAGTTGCCGTCCTTAGGGTATAAGGAATAAGTACACCAAGTTCCAAAATAATCCTTTCAGAATTGTGGCCTTTGGGCGTTAAAGGCAAAAATTGGGCATTGCTCTGCCCCTGGACGTTGCTCTGCCCCTGGGCGTTGGGGCATTCACCAAAATCAATAGTTGATGCCCTTAGGCTATAAGGAATACATATGCCAAATACCAAGTTGATCCATCCAGAATTCGGGCCTGTAAACGATAAACATAAAAATTGGGCGTGACTCTGCCCCTGGGGGTGTGACATGCAGTTGTCGTCCTTAGGCTATAAGGAAAACATATCCCAAGTTCAAAGACAATCCATTAGGAATCGTGGCCTGTATGCAACTCACAGAGACACAAAGAAAAAAATGGGTGTGGCTCTGCCCCTGGGGGTTGGGCAATCACCAAAAAAATAGAGGTCAGCCTTGGGGTATAACGTATAAGTATAAAAAAGTTTTCAAGATGATCGATTAAGCATTGCAGGCTGTAAGTGACATACAGACACACAAAAAGAAAATGGGTGTGGCTCTGTCCCTGGGGGCTGGGCATTCACCACAAACAATAGGGATGTTCCTTAGGATAGAAGGAGTAAGCATGCAAAGTTTCAAGGTGATACGTTACGAAATGCGGTCTGTAGATAACAAACAATGAATACAAGAAATGGGCGTGGCTCTGCCACTGGGGGTCGGGCATGCACCAAGAACAATAGGGATCATCCTTAGGGTATAAGGAATTCATATGAAATTTTTTCAAGACGATCGATTAAGAATTGTGGCCTGTAGGCGACACACAGAGAGAAAATGGGCGTGGCTCTGGCCCTGGGGGTTCGGCATGCGCCCCAAACGATAGGGGTGTTCCTTAGGGTATAAAGAAAAAGTATGCAAAGTTTCAATATGATGCGTTAAGAAATGCGGCCTGTAGACGACAAACAAACAAATACAAGAAATGGGCGTGGCTCTGCCCCTGGGGATCGGGAATGCACAAAAAACAATAGGGATCATCCTTAGGGTATAAGGAACAAGTATGTAAAGATTCAAGGTGATGACTTAAAAATTGTGGCCTGTAGGCGACACACAGCCACACAAAAAGAAAACGGGCGTGGCTCTGTCCCTGGGGGTTGGGCATGCACCCCAAACGATAGGGATGTTCCTTAGGGTACAAAGAATAAGTATGCAAAGTTTCAATATGATACGTTAAGAAATGGGGCCTGTAGATGACAAACAAAGAAATACAAAAAATGGGCGTGGCTCTGCCCCTGGGGGTCGGGCATGCACCAAAAACAATAGGGATCATCCTTAGGGTATAAGGAATAAGTATGTAAAGTTTGAAGATGATCACTTAAGAATTGTGGCCTGTAGGCGACACACAGACATACACCCATACACACACCCACACACACACACCCACACACAGACAAGGGCGACGGCAATATACGTCCACATTATGAATGTGGACGTATAAAAATTGTTACTTTTGTTCATTTATGAATACTTTTCAACTACAAAATGAGCACTGATCTGAAAAAGTACAAAATATTACAATTTTTTTTTTTATATATATTTCATTATATTGAGATTTTGCTATACAGTTAGTAGAAGTATTGCAATTATATACTATTCAAAAAAAGTAGGGGATATTTGATTTTTAAGTGTTATTAAAGTCACCTAATGAAACTGACGAAGAAACAAATGACAAAATGAAATGAAGTTCACATTCATCGATTTATTCCAAATGATCGTTAGACTAAGTAAGGCACAGACTGACCATCATAAGGGTAAAATGATACCCGGGGTCAAACAGCAAAGTTACCACAGCATCACAACCAAGTCAGTAACGGGTAAATCCTCCTCTGTTTGCCAAACAAGCATTGATCCGACGTGGCATACTCCTAATGAGACGTCTAAGGTCATTTTGGTCCAGATTGTCCCATTCCTGTTGCAACGCAGCAGCAAGTTCTTGGACATTGGCAGGACGTTGTTGACGTTGACGTAACCTCTGTCCAAGCATGTCCCAGACATGCTCGATGGGGGAGAGGTCGGGACTCAGTGCTGGCCAAGGTAATGTGGTGATGTTCTGTTGTTGGAGGTAACCTGTAACGATCCTGGCCCTGTGACATCTTGCGTTGTCATCCTGGAAGATGAAACCAAGATGGACTGCCAAGATGTTGTCCCGGTAGTACTGGCCTGTAACACGCCCTGCAACAACATGTAAAGCCGTTCTTCCAGCAACAGTGATGCCTCCCCACACCATAACAGAACCACCCCCAAATCGATCATGTCTGATGACGTTAACGTCTTGGAAGCGCTCGTTTCGACAACGCCACACCCTCCTACGTCTGTCCAAAAAATCAACAGTGAACCTTGACTCATCTGAAAACATCACATTGCTCCAGCGTCGATTATCCCAGTGTTGACGATCCCTACACCAACGACGTCTTGCCTGAATGTGATGATCTCTCAAACAAGGGATCACGCGAGGACGTCGGGCGCGAAGGTGACCCCTATGCAGTCGATTCCAAATCGTCTGGCCACTCACTCTCACACCAGTGTCTGTTTGAAGACGAGCGCTGATCTGATTTGCTGTGATGACACGATTTCTCAAGGCCAAGGTACGGATAAATCGATCCTGGGCTTGAGTTGTCGCCCTTGGTCGACCTGAGCGTGGTCTGTCCTGTACAGATTGTGTATCACGGTATCTGGACCATAGCCTGCTTATGACAGACAGAGAAACATTCATCGTCCGCGCCACAACCGCCTGTGTTGTGCCGATCTGTAGCATGCCGAGGGCATGTAACCTTTCATTTTGGGTAAGCCGACGCATATCAAAATTTGTTTTCTGGTCACTAAAACAATTAAACTGATGTTTCCACCCTGGAATTCAATGCCACAATGACTGTAACATTCAAAGTCAGAGTCGTGCAAATCTTGGGTTGGACCCCCATGATGATCCCAAGCATCACATGCATTCCATGCGGTAGCTATTGGTGCGTTTGGGCGTCACATGTAACTGGAAATGTTTCTTCTGTTAGGTTCTATGGTGACTTTTTTCGTAGTCATTTGCATATTTTAGTATTATGCCCCCAAAATCAAATATCCCCTACTTTTTTTGAATAGTATATGTATCACAATTCCTGTATATAATAGGGCTTATATACATACCTGATCAACATATCTAATGGGTGATCTATTAAACATTTCTTCAAGGGTTTTAGCATTTATTACTGATGAATGACAGTATTTTATTCCACATTCTTCCCAAACCCTACAAAACAAGCCAACATCAATAGATCACACATATTAAGTAATTGCACATTTATCTTTTTCAATAGTATTGAGCAATCAAACTGATTATCTATACTTAGTCTAAGCATCAAACTCAGTCAAGGTTTTGAAGTAACTGGTAGTGAAACTATACACTAAGTTTCATCACTCTCTGCAAATTGGAATCAAAGTTATCTTGTCCCAAAGCATTGACCTTAGTCAAGGTACTGATATAATGAATCTATATTTGGAATTTCATCGCTCTCATCCAATCAGAACCAAAGTTATCGTGTTCCAAAGTCTCAATCAATCAAATTGCTTATCTCTCCTTAGCCTTAGTGGAAAATGTGCATGATTGAACTAGGCATTCACCTAATAGACACCTACATGTACACTAAGTTTGAACATTCTACCTCAATTAGAAGGAGAGTTATTGTGTTCCAATGATTCGACCAATAAGATTGTTAAGATATTGATGTAATGAAACTATACAGGAAGTTTCACCACAATCACTCATTTAGAATTAAAGTTGTCGAGCTCCAAAGTCTTGACCAATCAAATTGATTATCGCTCTGCTTACCCTGAGCAGAAAATGCTCATCTTCGAACTCCATCAAATACTAATACTAAGTTAAATGAAAACGCACATCTTAGGGCATAAAAAAAGGACATTATAGCTACTAAATGGTTCAACCTTATCAAAAGTTAAAATATAGAAGCATTGTGTGTCCAATTTACAAGTATATAGCAAAAACAAATATACCTAGCAAAATAGGTGGTACAGAACAGAGATCTTTGGGATATCAACCTATATTTTAAGCTCCGTCAAAATCAGATAAAAATTGTGACCTGTAGTGTCCACAAACTAAATGTGAACAGACGTACAGACATCTGGACGGTCAGGGGTGAGGACAATATACATCCATATGAAAATGTGGGCATATAAAACAGGAGGTTATATAATTAGCCACCTTTGAAAAGGAAGGCAGACAATCAAAAAAACTTTATAATCTAATTACAAAAATTACAAAAAAACAAACTATAAGGTAAATTTCTTTGAACTGAATGAAGCTAAATAAAAATATTCTAATGGATCAATTTTGTTTGTCTTTAGCACTTTTTAACAATGGGAAGATAAAAGTAGATGAATTTAATAGAACTTTGTTTGGTCATGAAACCCAACAGGCATTTCAACATTTAATCGCAAATAATGTAATGAGAAGTTCAATAATAAAACAAGAACTGTAAGTTAATTAATTACTTCAGGAAATTTAATACTAAAAGTAAGCAGACCAGTAGGAAAAACAAATCAATTATAAATATTTTGGGTACTTTCCATTACATCATTTCAGCATTAAATTGAATTAAAAGTGAAAAAAGAAAGATTGTCGTTTCATCATTTAACATATAAATATATGTTTTCTAAGGTTGATGTTCTTCAAAACCCACAAGCTGGGTTCAAAGCAAACTACACTTATTCATTTTCAATAAATATTCCATTAATTATCAATCTTATGGCTTTTCATTTGCTTTCTTAAAGCAGTTTAAAGTTCAAAGGACTATTTTAGTTCTAAAGTGGTAATAATAGTCTGCACTATTACCAAACAACATTCAGTCTACTACAGAAGATCGTGAACACATATGATGAAGCAACGAGCAACCAGCAATGCCGTCCAAATCAAGACAATTTAGGTGCACAGTGCATATAGTCTACAAGCAATTTAGAAGCAACGATTCAAAATTTTAAAGACTTAGGGGCCCCCATTCTGTAAGATCATATTGGCAATTTTTTCTAGCAATGTGGTGACAATTATATATTTAATGCGAATTGCCTAAAAAATTCACCCATGAAGCTGTAATGATGTAAGATCATATTGGCGATTTTTTCTAACAATGTGGTGGCAATTAAATATTTAATGCAAATTGCCTAAGAAAATCACCCTTGAAGCTGTAGTGGTCAGGGACATGGAAAAAATATAGTCAGTCTCAAAATAAGTGCAGTCCATCTCAAAATAATGCATCGGCGACTAAAAGAATCAACGAGGTAAACAAAGAATGCCAAAATATAGAAGGGCAAAATTCCAGATACTTAAAGGACAATATTGGTGTCAGCCATTATCACTGGTTAAACACTGGTTAACTGGTTAAACACATTCCAAATATAATTTTAACACAGAGATCACTGCCACGATAGATGCGTAACAAACATTTGAAGAAACGGAAGTGACGAAAGCAAAAGGAAAACACGACTTATCCTTCTATATAATTAATTGAAGTAACGAGCGATAACAGATACACAAGCAAATTTCTGCTCACTAATAATTCCTTCGAAGACCAAAAGTTATCATATGAGACTGTGAGAGGATATCTGACAATTCAAAACAAAAATTAAATATCGCTAGAGAAAATGAGAACAAAAGCAACGCTACCGCTGCAATATACATCCACATTCCTACATTGATTGATATGGTATTTTTTAAATTGAAGAGAATGAAATATTAAATGGCTGCAACAACTGTAATATGACGAGAGGCAAAGAAGGCTAGGTGTTGGGTTTGTTTTGCCAAAATTTACAAACTAATTAATAACAAATAAGTGGGTGTGACACCACCCCTGGGGGTCGGGGCATGCACCATAACAAATAGTAGTTGTCTTTACGCTATAAGGCATAAATATGCCAAGTTCCAAAATGATCCATATAGAATTGCAGCCTGTAGACGATAAACACAGAAATTGGATGTGGCTCTGCCCTTGGGGGTTGGAGATGGAAGAATATAAATACATGTAGGTACAACCCTGTTATATTGATATGCTGAATTTGAACAAAATCTGTTTATAATTGCAACCTGTAGAGTATTTACAGACAAGAAATTAACAAAAAAGTGGGTGTGACACCACCCATTAGGGTCAGGACATGCACCAAAATAAATTATTGCTATCCTTACGGTATAAGGAATAAATATGCCAAGTTCTTAGATGATCCATTCAGAATTCCAGCTTGTAGACAAAAAACACAAAAATTAGGAATGGCTCTGCCCCTGGGAGTTGGACATGGACCAATATAAATGGTGAGGCGTCTGTTAATGAATCACATGATTAACACCACAACTTGATTGATGGGGCACTCAAAACAGCGTGATCTGTGGGGTGCCTTATCCCGGAAGGACGCCCATATAATGACATGATTGGTGCGGCGCTTTATAATGACAATATATGATTGTCAGGCCGCACATAATGCAAATGCCGAGTGAGATTGGTTGGGTACCCACGACTTGATCAATTTTACTAATCTAAACAAGCCAACAGTGAGGCTGATGTCCCCAGCCACAATCCCAAATAAATAGATGATTTATATTAATTAATTGCACATTTACCTTTTTAAAAAGAATTGAGCAATCAAACTGGTTATCTATACTTAGTCTAAGCAGAAAATGTTCACGATTGAATTCTGTCAAGGTTTTGAAGTACCTGGTAGTGAAACTATACACTAAGTTCCATCACTCTCCATCAGTTAGAATCAAATTTATCTTGCCCAAAGCACCGACCAACGAAACTGCTTAGCTTTTCTTAGCTTTAGTGGAAACTGTTAATCATTTAACTCGGTCACAACATTTATCTGATGAACATCTACATCAAGTTTCTCCCTCAATTAAATTAAAAACAAAGTTGTTTTGTGCCAAAGTCTTCACCAATCAAATTGCTTATTGCTACTTAGCATAACCAAAAAATTTTCATAATTGAATTTTATCAAGGTATTGATATAATGAATCTATACTCTGAGTTTCACCATTCTCACCCAATTAGAACCAAAGTTATTGTGTTCAAGGTCTCAACCTATCAAACTGCTTACCGTATTTCTGCTTAGCCTTAGTGGAAAATGTGCATGATCGAACCCTGTCAAGGCATTCAGCCAATTAATTCGTACACCAAGTTTGAACATTCTAATAAGAAGGTGAATTATTGTGTTCCAAAGTCTCGATCGATCAGATTGAAGTCTCTACTTAGCCTGAGCAAAAAATGCTCATCATTGATGTTATGAAACTATACACAAAGTTTCATCACTCTCACCCAATTAGAATCAAATTTATTGCGCTCCAAAGTCTTGACCAATCAAAATGTTATTGCTATGCTTACCCTGAGAAGAAATGCTCATTACTGAACTTTGTCAAGGTATTTATATAACGAAACTATAAACTATGTGTCAACCCTCTCACTTAATTAGAACCAAAAGTTATCATTTCCCAAAGCATCAACCAATCAAATTGCTTATCACGGCTTACCCTAAGCAGAAAATGCTCACATTCAAACTCCATCAAGGCGTCCACCTAATAAACACCTACACCAAGTTTGAACATTGTAGCTCAAATAGGAGGAGAGTTATTGTGTCCCAAAAAGTATGCTTGACAGACATACCAACGGACCCATATAAATTTAATACAGATCAGTTGATAACTTTTGTTGTTGGAGCGTTCACAAGGTTCAACAAAGTGAAATAAGGGTCATAACTCTATAAGTTATTAACAGAAATTGCTGCAATTTGATAGGCTTCTTTGTTTTACTAAATTAAATAATGCATGTCAATTTCATACAGATCAGATGATAACTTTTGTCATTAGAGCATTCACGCAGTGTTCAAAAAAGTGATACAATGGCCATAACTCTAGAAGTTATAAAAAGAAACTGTTAAAATTCAATAGGATTCTTTGTTTTACTAATTTAAATAATGCAGGTAAATTAAATACAGATCAAATGAGAACTGTTGTCATTAGAGCATTCACAAGGTTCTACAAAGTGAAACAAGGACAATAACTCTAGCAGAAATTAATGGGAATTGTTTAAATTATCTAGGCTTCTTTGCCTTACTAATGTAAACAACATATATAAATTTTAATTAAAATGATCAGATAATTAATATATTCTGTAGAGTGTTCACAAGAAATAGTGAATAATGGACCGACGTTGACGTACGAAAAGGTACTTGTGTCATATTTTGTTGTCACAT